TTTTCAAACTGAAAACCGCCTAGCAAACAAGACATTGACGAGCGATGACACCTGTAAAGCTGCCAGCGCTCTCAATGCCCCGTTCAGGGCAGAGGTCACTCTGTCCTTTGACCTCTGTCCTGGATGTCGGCCTGCTCTGTCTCGGAAATCCAACCCTCAGGCAAGTCGGATACCCTATATAGAAAAACCGCCAGGTAGTCTATATAAGACAGAATCTGGATGGAGAGACGCAGCAGTCTCTCCATCCTGTGGTGTTCTTTGGGACCAAACAACACCTGGTCCAACGATTTACCGGGTCAGGCTGCAAGTTCCCTCGATTCCAGCTTAGCTGGTTGAGGGGCAAGCAGGTCATCATGTGTGGCATAGTCAGTGGCGTGCACCTCCGACAAATCGCCAACACTGAGCTGCAACCCAGAATACCCTGGACTACGGGTTGAAGAAGAATTCTCTAATACCCGAGACTGGGCGGTGGCCAGAGCTGAAGACACAATAGTGCCTTTTGGCAGAGAGCGGTCCGACCGGGTGGACACCCGATGATCCACCAAAGAACCCAAATGGGTGGTGGACTCGGGGACAGATGACGCCGAAGGTGGTGGGCAAACCGCCTCCCCAAGAATCCGGGAAACGTCGGCCCTAAGGCGCCGCATACCGGACAACACATGCAGGGCCTCAACCTCAGCAGCCTCAGGGTCACCCTCATCCTGGACATCCTCCTCAGAGGGCACGCCCTCCTGAGGACCGTCATCAGACGACTCGGAAAGACCAGCGTCTATATCCGAGCAACCAGGAGAAAGATGAACAACATCATCGTCCTCTGCCATTTCCGCGCCATCAACGTCCATAGCCTCCACACCATCCAGACCAAAAGCTTTGGGAGGAGGAAATGGGCCAGCCAGAGGGGCCAACTCGAGAGAAGGCTCCCCGTAACGGCGTTTAGGTGCAGTGCGCCTAACGACCGTGGCTGTAGGTTTAGGCTTAGTAGCCAAAACCCTAACCTTGGACCCAGAGACCAACGAGCCTGCCCGAGGGCAGAAGTCCTAAAGGTCCCACACACTTCTTAAGACCGGCCGATAAGGCCCCCGAGGTAGCAGAATATTAAGGGGGGGGGGGGGNGTCAACAGAACTGCTAACACGTCTCCGCGAGGGAGAGACCAAACCCCAAGGATTCCACGACGGAAAAGCCATGGGGTTAAACCATATCCTGGAGGATAAGGGAAAGGTCCTGGGGCGGGGAGTGACCCCAGAACTGGCCAAACTGGCCTGCCTAAGGCTGGGGCTGGCCACCTTGCCCAAAGGGCGAAGGTGGACCGCCACTCCCTCCAGGTGGAAACCCGGACATGTACGGGCTAAGCCCGTAGCTGCCGGGATGCTGCCGCAACCCAAAAAACCCAAGGTTCCCGGAAGAATGAAACTCCGGACCGGACCTAATAGGACCGGGTCCGGGTAGCTGACCGGGAGGGTAAGCCTGACCAGCATTGGTGCCGGGATTAGTGAGCTGCGCGTCACTAATCCCGGTAGACACAGAAAATCCCGAAAGAAAGTCTGTAGTCACACCAGGACCTGAACCCGAAAGAACAGACCCGGCACCAAGACTGTCCCCAACGACAACACCATCTGGAATGCCGGGATCACTGACAGAGTCAGTGACCGGCGGCTGGTAGTCCCTACCCGAAGGCAACTGCGAAAGATTACGGGCGTTCCCGGCCAATTCGACCCTTGGCTGTGCCAAGCCAGGGTCGGGCTGCCTCTCCCCTACTCCAGGGAGTTCCTGGACAGGAAGGGCCACCCCGTGCTCACGAGAGGGACTTGCCAAAGCGAGACCCCCCGAGACAGGAACATAGACAGTACCACCAGACCCCAGAGAGCTGGTGGCACGACCCCTACCTCACTGCTTCCCTCGTTTACCGGAAGAAACAGACGAATCTCTCTTACGGTAAGTTGAGGGTAGCTTTGGAACAATGAAGTCCTTGTCCTGAGATTTAGTTTCTGAACAAAGTTCAAAGCGAAACCTCACTGCACGGACGACACTGGTGACAAGCATCATGAGGGTCCCGTTCCCCGAAGAAATGGGAACACCCATGAGCTCTCCCCCGTCGCTGTCCCGACCGAGACATATTCTCCAAAGCGAAAGTAAACAAAAGTTAACAAGCAGACAACCACGGGAAAAAATAATAAAATACGATAGTACAAAGTACGCAACGTAGAAAGAATTTCACCCGTAATATAAATCCGATAACGGTTAAAATAAATAAAATAAATAACGTTTGCCGAAACAAACAACCGTCACTGAAATAAACAGAGGTCGGATATTAACCCACAATAATGGCGGACCGCGTGGCACACCACCGGCACACGTGGAGTAAAAATACCGGCCGTAAAAGGCACAAAATTAATTGTATTAACAAGGGCAGATGGACACACAAACTGCGCAATTATTGAGTTGACACTCTAACCAAACCAGCTAGCTCCGTGCGTCAGCAGGCAGCAGGCGCCATAAAAGGAAGATGAAGGGAGATCGCTCCGTGGCTCTGTCGTCAAGTTATGGGTTACGGCACGGTAGGGAGGTGGGTATATTTGAATCTTTTGTTTTTGGGCTACAAAGGTGGGTGTAGGTATTGTATATGCATACTAAATTTATTGTAATTATTATTCTCATCCCAACGAAACATACGTATACAACAATCATTTATATGTAAACAATAAAGTATCGTGTTCTCTCCATGTAAAGTAAATACATGTAAATATTAGTATTAGGAAAAGTTTTCCGTGTTTGAACTGTTTCCCTAGTAATTATTTGTGCATCACTTTATTTCCTATGTAAGGTTGTTTTTTTACTTTCTGTTGTGTTTTTCTTACGTTTCTGTAGTAAGTTTGATAAACTTTGGTTATATTTTTCTCTCATGTTTATAAACATTACTGTGTTTTTACCCCAGAAAATTTTGAACACTGCTGTTTTGAGCAGATTTGTACAATCTCGTATATATTGCATTATGCTCCTGTCGTTAGTGTGGGAACATTGTTGTTTCCGAACAATGGTTGTCTGTTCCTCTAAACAAATCGTAAACAAATTGATATTTCCTTAGAAATGTTATTGGTATTGTTTTAAGTATCCTGTATACATGTGCTATTATTTTTCTTCCAGAAGCATGTTTATGACGTATGTTTTACCAGTAGATGTGTGAATTAAGCCTAATAATCCCTCAGTGAATAGTTGAAAATACCATATATCTCCTAGTTGTTTATGAAGACTGATTTGCATCCCTTAAACATATGTGACGATTCTTATATTCAGGAACATATTTCTTTTGTTGTTTGTTTCCAGTTGACGAGTTTTGTTTAATGTATCGGGGTTAACGTCCTTTTAACAGCTATTGCCATTAAAAGACATGTAGGCGTGAATGTTGGAAACGAAATGTTGGGCACAATATCATACAAATATTCCCCAATTCCTATTTTAGTGACCCTGACAATATGCATGCAGTGATCAAACATCAGATGTATTCTTCTCTTAATCCCTGATAAACCGGGAAGTTGAAGACATTTAGGATATCTACAATAAAATATATAATATATAACTGTAATATTGATTTGGGTTTCTATAGTCTGTTTGTCACTTTTTTTATGATTCCGTTGGAAGTTTATGAACGTTGTTGCATTCTTGCATATCTTCGTCATATAGTGTGTTTCTGTACTTAGTTTCTGGTCATTTTGGATTATATTTTTTCTAGAAGATTTGTGATTTATTTGTTGTTTCATTAGTAAGTTTGTAAACATGGATATTGCTTCTCTAGTAATTTTGTTAACCATATCTTGTGATTTCGTAGACATTTTGTGAACGTTTTGTTGTTCCTGAAATGATATCGAAATCTTTGTTTTGTGTTTCTGTAGTAAGTGTATGTTTTTGTATAAACCTTGTGAGCACTGGTGATGTTTCCGTAGAAACTTTTTAACCTTGTTAGATGTTGCAATAAAAAGTTTGTAGAAAGTGTTTAGTGGGCCTGTCGTACATTTCAATACAGTATACTACATTTTTGAAGAACGTATTTCGTGGGATAGCGCAAACGAACAATTTCGACGATACAAACTTTCGTGATTAGTACACGCACCCGTAAGTAAAGTGCGTACTGCATTGCCAGTCCTATTCCGTCTTTGCGTATTGCAGAGTTATCTTCTCTTGTGAGGAGGTATTGATTGTTAAGTCATTGGGTTGTGTAAGAAAAATACGTCGTTTTCTCAAAAATTGATGACGTTACTCTCACAAACCAATGACGTAACAATCAATACCTGCTCACAAGAGAAGATAACTCTGCAATACGAAAAGACGGAATAATATATATGACATAGTACAAATTTCGGATCGACACTAATAGTGTATACGAGACATTGCGGTTACTAATTGAATAAATGACATAAAAACATAATTGACGAAGGAAGAACATTTCGTATTCAATAAAACTAATAACATGAATTTGACTTGTATTTGCACATGCAATAGCTGTGAGGTGAGGAATGAGATCAGTGTCCATATGTTCATAACCAAGCAAATATTATAGCTTGAGTTTTGTTGAAAGTGCCGCACTAATATATATATAAAGGCATGCACTATCTGATTCCGTTATTACTGAACGACCCGTTTGAATTGTATTGTATTTGAAATCGTTAAAATGTAGAACTTGCGTAAACAAAACACAGCATTCAAAGGAACCGAAATATGATGACTGGCAGAACGTTTGTAGGGATAGCGCGATTTTTTCTTTCTCTCTCTCAAACAAGGATACTGATTTTTCATGATCGAGAACTATATTCAAACTATTGCAGTTATTGCTATGAAAATTAGTCTTATGTTCTTAATTTTAACGATAGATTTTTACAGAAATATAATGGTATAACCTGTCAAAAATATTTTGCACTGAAAAAGTACCAGTCATAACATAAAGTGGATAAATATACGCTTTGTTATCCAACAAGTTTGAGAATGATAAAAAATTCACGTCAATAGGGTAGGTTAAAAGGTTAGAATGGAGGAATCAATATGTAAAATATGTATTATCTATATGTAAAATGACAATTGTATATAGTGTACTAAGTTATATCGCAATATTTGAGTATTTATTACATCTACTGTTTCCTAAACAAACGTTGATATGGAAACCGTCCTTTACATAGCCACCTCCTTCAATTTATCAATTCAAGTTGCTTACGAATGAATATGTCACGTTTCGTACTCATCGTCCGCCATTCTGATGCCGTAAGGTCGAAGGTGATAAACAAAATACTCGTAACCATACATAAACGCAGGTTGAACGTAGTGGAAAGAAATGGCGTAATCACTGACACTGTCCTGGCCCTGAAACGATCAACATTGTTCCCGTTATATGGAATTCCGATGTAAACATTTGTTCCTATTTACGTTAATTTAGTTACCGTTCACATGACATTATGTTGGCATATTCCCAGTCATTAGGCATGCTAGTGACAAACTATTCTAGATATCGGTTCGGTTTAATATATTCTATTTGAAATAATAATTACCTTTACCAAGTTGTAATGTTAATTGAAGCAATGAACTACTTCTAATTCAAACGGTTCGATTAGGATATGTACGTGGTTTGTTATAACAATAATATCTGTAGTATCTTTAATTTCTTGAATGAAAAATATAAGGTATAACTTACATATTGTGCTCCGTTAGCATCGTATCTTAAGTACCATTCTGGGTAACCTCCCCTCAGGTGTGTCCACGGCTTAAAACAGTGGAATCGACTTCTTCCCAAAGAGTCGGTACTGTTACCCGTCCTCACCCCGACGTATTGCATGCACCTACCCTGGTTCAAACACAGGTCAAACATTGATTTATAATGCATAACGAAATATTACATTTGTACATGTACATATTCCAGATAGTATAAAAATGAAAAAAAACACCTTAAAAGATCTCCTTAAATAGACATATCTACTGACACGTCAACAAAAGTGCTGTTACAATGAAATTTCGAGTTACAATCGGTATCATATCTTATACGGGTTTTTTCACTATGAAGGAATATAAATAATAAAACTACATTTTGTTCCTTCTTACCAAAAACACGTCCTCTTCCGATCCCTGTAATGTACATTTACCGGAAGGAATACCATTAATCACGAGCCTGCGCAATGCCTCCTTACTCAGGACGTATCCGGCTCCACCACTGTGATATCCTTGTTTTGCCAGTGTCTTGAAGTGATGTCCGAAATAAACTGGTTCATTCGGAGAATATGGTTCTAACAAATGACGTAGGTTTTCTAAGACAACGTACGTATCATCATCCGCCTTGAGGAACCAATCAGCGTCGTCTATGTGATGTTCGTAAATATACTCAAATGCCTTCATTGTCTTTTCTGTAAGATGTTTCCGCCCCTCAGTGTCGGTGACGCCGACGGTCGGAAATGTAACGTTTGTGACAGAACTGATGAACAAGACCTTGTTACATCGTTTCGTCCACGTGTTTTTCACGTGTATAGTTTTCTTGTCCAGGTTGTCAGGGTGTGTCATGATGTAACACAACACCCTCACCTTCTGCTCGAGTCGTCTCGCTACCGTGTCGTCATCATCTGTAAGTCAGATCATGGGGGAAAATATCACGTTAACAATGTAAGTAACCTTCTTTTCGGTAAAAATTAAATATGACAGGACAGAATAGTTTGGAGCCCCTAAACTGAAATGCTATGCACTTGTTTATTTTGTTTTATCGAAATATTACTTCGTTATAACGAAATGAAAATAAAAAATAATTTGCTATAACGTAATATTATTTTCGATAAAACGAGATGGTACAGTATGCAGCATGTCAGTTAAATGAGCTTCATAGAATAGTGTAGTGTTATTATATATGTATAAGTCGAAGAAACTCTTGTCTTTTTTTATACATGTATATATAATCGGAAAAACATTCAAAGTCCCTGTTATGGTTAAAAAAGAAAAAATAAGACAGGAGTTTCTTCGACTTCCCTAGCGCTTTCTCCTCTTGAGAGGATCTACAGTTAGGGAAGTCGAAGAAACTCTTTTTTTCTTTTTTCTTTTTTTATTTAACCATCACAAGGACTTTGAAATGTTTTTATGATTATATATATATATATATGCTTAAAATAAATTAATGTGTGAAGACAACATATGGCCTGATCACATAGATTATTGTTAATAATGTAAGACAATTAAACAGCCATGATCATATATCTACTAACTCCTGGTTGCTTAAACCGGAATATTCTATTCTCATTATATGTGGAGTTAACCACTAGTGTTTTTTTGTATGAGGCATGTACAACAGGGACATAATCACATCTCAGTGGCGAAGGTATAATACAACTAGAAAAACCGTGGAGACACTATAACTGGTAAGACAATAAGTACCTCTGCAAAAAAAATATCCTAGAAGGTAAGTGCTTCATCTGTCAACGACAAATGTCTCAGGAAGATTAGCGATTCATTTGTCTTTAAACATACCACAGTGTCAACAATCACGAACAACAAACTACTATTCGGGATTCGACGGGCGTCATGACAAAAGGTGGCACATGTGCTGAAGGAAAAAATAAATACTTTTCAAAATTATTTAAATAATATCTCCGGGTTGTATATGTCGCTTTTGTTCATTTCTTTATGCATATGTTGCCATTTTTGCACTGGCTTCCCGTTCCGGTTTCCTACTTGTGTATTGACGTTGTGTTACGTTACTTGACAGACGTTTGTAGCATTACTTAAAAACAGTAAAACCTCAATCACTCTGGAACAATAGGTGAAATCCATTAGGTCACAAACAAATCAAATTTGAAATGGTTGGGTAACGTATGCTAGAGTTCATACCTACCGTGATGGAAGGACGCGTCACTGTCCTCTTGCCAGAGACCAGGTTCCTGTTGATGTTGCTCCTCTCTTTGTTTGTAGTTCACCGTCGTTTCCGTTGGTGGACAAACACAGGCCGTCTGTCTTGAAGACAGACGAGTTAAGATGTCTGCGGAATCGTGGCTGTACTTGAGATTCATCCACAGCAGCGCGGCACCATACACAATTGTCAGGACCATACTCAACCATACTGACATCAAAACCATACACAATTGTCAGGACTACACACAACCATACTGACATCATAACCATACACAATTGTCAGGACCACACTCAACCATACTGACATCAAAACCATACGCAATTGTCAGGACCAAACTCAACCATACTGACATCAAAACCATACACTATTGTCAGTACTACACTCAACCATACTGACATCAAAACCATACACAAGTGTCAGGACCACACTCAACCATACTGACATCAAAACCAGACACAATTGCCAGGACCACACTCAACCATACTGACATCAAAACCATACACAATTGTCAGGATCACACTCAACCATACTGACATCAAAACCATACACTATTGTCAGGACTACACACAACCATACTGACATCAAAACCATACACAATTGGCAGGACCACACTCAACCATACTGACATCAAAACCATACACAATTGTCAGGACCACACTCAACCATACTGACATCAAAACCATACACAATTGCCAGGACCACACACAACCATACTAACATCAGAACCACGTAAGTATTTCGTAAACAACATTAAATATTCATTTTACTTAGTATTTAACAGATTCATATTATATGCAAATAATGTACATTGATGTGTAAAGGATGGCTACATATACTTTTTAACGCAATTTTCATTTTTATGGCGCACTCATCGATATATAAAGTGTCAAACGGTCGGTATCTTAATGATGATTATGGATACATGGACAAAGCCGAACCGTAAACTGTCTGTTTGTGATTGGAGGATTGGGAGAAAATTTCGTTTAAGGTAAAAAAGTTAGCGCAAATAGAAATCAGTAGCATTTTATTTTTTTCGGTTGTTGCAATATTTGTTCTACGACATGAAAAATATTGAAATATCAATAAAAATCACAATTATTTATAGCGTTTAGACTATATTTAATGAAACAAAAAATATGTAGGTCTCGTATATTACATAAAACGAAAACACAACCAATGAATTAAGTGACCACTACGATAACTTACCGTTTCTGCACACATACATCCTATAGTAGCGTGACTACTTGAGAAACATCAGTAATGCAAGTTATATGTTCATACCTATTGCCGTTTCACGGGTATTAACCCAAGCCGAGGGGAGAAATGATCGGTACATTCATTGACTGACACATGAACATAATCTGACATCAATAAAATCGAATTTATGTATGAGGCTCACAGAACTTAAGTATACACACGGGGGTGCTGAAACAAATGTTACACGTGTGTTACAGAGTATGTGGAACAAGGTTAACAGTGGAACATAATTTACAACGATAACCATATAATGATAGCAAAGCAATTACAAAACTACAATGCAGTGCTAATCAAATCTATTGGTAAATGAGATGAAAACTTAAGTACACAATTGACACGCATCACTCTTATAAACGAACTTAACAATAGGTAGGGAGTCCACACTTTTCATCCAATTCATTGATATCTTTTGATAGGTAATCAACCCATTAGGATACTCATCTCTAGACTTCCTATCGATATGATATTGCTTTGCAAGTTCTCACATTTAGATTTTCTACATGATTAATATTACTTGAGGTATTTCCTAACTTTGAGATGATTCAGATTGTCTTTAAAAAGTCCCTCATCCAGAACCCCTTCTTATGCTAGCAGTGCTTGCATGCGAATTGATATTACTGCCGCCTGTCACCCTGGACGTAATACAGATGGTAAGACTCTTACATCATTTGCATATACCAGCTGAAGCACGCCTAGTTGATCAACCACAAGTGAATATCAAATAGTAGGTTGTGTATCTGTTCAGGTCAGACTGGGCGTATAAATGCATGCGTTTGTTTTTCTAAGTAGTTCATTAATTCATATATCACAATCTTCATTTCTAAAACTAATAATACGAATAAAACATCATGTGGATAAATTACATATGGACACTCCTAATACTGTATCTCGGTATAATAGCAGGTAGAGGCAGACCACAACGACCTTTCACATTAACGTCCTATTACTGTATTGCCTGTTAGAGTGTCAACATTCAAATCATATGCACAAGAGATTTATCGTTTATGTAAGCAATAATTCAAAACAGGCGAACACACGTTTTTATTGGTCGTGCCAGCTTAGTGGCAACCGAGCTGTTTAGTATTGGTGACGGTTAAATATAGTGTTTGAAGTATCGGATTGAATCCCAACTTTTTAAATTTCCTTTCACATGTGTCGTTAAAATGTATACAGTTCTTTTGGTTATTTAAAATTTACTTTGTTCGACATATCTCTATCTGTGTATTTTTTATATGTTTAAAAAGGTGTTTCCTACGTAGTATTTCTAATTATTATCTTACGTGACCAATGTTGACTGTAAAGGAGGGCTAATGGTCCCCGAAGTCGGCCGTAACCTTGCAGCTAGACTTTTGTCTGGCACGCTTAACATGAAATGCTAGTCTATACACAGATACACAGATACATGTACATATATTTTATTCTGACTGTATGACCTACAAAAGTCCTCTGCTGCCAGCTCAATACGGTTTGAACAAAATCTGACAAGAGCATGGACATTTGAATAACATTTATCATTGATAGGTAAGGTGAAAAAAGTAAATCATATATAAATTCCACATTTGAGTAATTAGTGTTCACAACATTAATTTGATAATAAGTTATCAGGAAGTATATTCAGTTCATATATTTAACTACGGGTCGATAATAAAACAGGTTCTCTATAATTATAGAGTATCGGTTCGTTTCTCCAGTGATGGTCTAGGCAAAACTCGAAAGATTTGATAGTTCTTGATAACATCATCTCTGGTGACAACCTGTTCCAGATGCCAACAGTTCTTTGACAAAATGAATCCTTTCTCATGTTAAGGCGCGTTCTATCCTTGAACAGTTCATACTCATGACCCCTTGTAACAGTATTGTTCTTATTTTGTGACATGAACTTGGACACTTCGGGATCATCTTACCCTTTCATTATTTTAAAAAGTTCAATCGTGTCTCCCCTGATACGTCTGTAAGCCAATGTTAGGAGCTGCAATACCTCAGGTCCCTCTGGGTAGTACATGTATGTCGGTATCAATTTAGTTGCTCTTTTCTGGACGTTTGGCTTATAGGTCTATAGTTGCTTGCTGATTTGCGGTCTCCTTTTTTGAAAAACGCAGCTACGTTTGCTAGTCTCCAGTCATCAGGTACTGATCCTGTGATACAGAAGTAGTATATATGATTGATAACGGGCGGCTTATGACGGAACTTATTTCTTTCAATACACGCGGTTGAATATTATCTAGGCCTGGGGATTTCGACGTTTTAAGCTCTTCCAGAGGTCTAAAGACAACACTGGGATCTATTACTGTACTTCATATCCGATCATATTATCCGTAACACGGTCCATACTGGACATGTGGTCCTCTGGTTCTGGAAGTGAAGAACTCTGCCAGCACCTCTGCTATATCTTTGTCACTTTTGGTGACTTAGTCCTCTCAATTTATGAATAATTTTCTGATATTACAAAAACCATTCAATATGACGTAGGTAAGGATTTAATATGGTCCTTTCTCCTTGTGTATTTCTAGTTGCTTAATTCTTCTTCTTTATTGTGTGTGTGTAGTGTAATGATGTTTGGGTTATCTTTATTTTATTTTATTTTTTTCCAATTAAATTCCTACCTACACACCACTGCTTTTTGAGTCTGTTTCATTGTCGCTGTCATCTAGAACCCATTTTCTTTATTTTACAATCTACATGAAACTTTGACGAATCTTGAAAACTACTTACTTTATATTGACTTTAACAGATCGTTAACCTAACAAGTCTACAAACAACCGCTCCCGGGTCGTGTATGCTATACATGTATACATGAACTACAGAGATGTATCAAACCTTTAAAGGGAATAAAATAGGCCGATATAAATAATCAAGGTAAAAAACGCACATGTGATTGCTCAAATAAAATTTGTTCATAGATACAGTATGACAAGGATAAATGAATTACAATTCAACTTTCAACTGTTCCGTCCATCTAGTACTCATCGATGATGCTAAGGACCAAAAAAAAATCTGAAAATCTGAAACCCCTTAGTTAGAAATGTATATAAAATGCAAAAATCATATGCGAACTGGGGTTAATTTCAAATCAATATAAAAAAGGTTAAACGTTATTTCCAATACAACAAAACGTTTTATTCGACTACAAATTCAATTCACTATTGGATAAATGGTTGCAGAACCTTGTGCATACAGAGTATAAATATATATTTACATGAATTATCAAAATGTTCACAAATTACTTGTTTGTGATTCTTTTGTAGGGAAGTGTGTGAACATGTTATGCAATATCTTGCTATTTATCTTGTGCCTAATGTATCTAACTCCAGCAATGGACTCTTTGTATATTCTGGAACAGACGATTATTGAGGAGAGATTAATTAATTGCTGATTTCCCTACCTACATATTGCATTGTTAATGGATGCATAATTATTTAGTATAGCAGTTTTACCTTTAGATAACAATCATCGATGCATGTTTAACATAATTACGGAATAATAGTCAATTTCGATACGATTTATATATGCATCGGTTTGTGAATAAATAAATAAAACAAGAAGGAATAAATAACGACATTTTATTACATACTTTCAACTTTATTTTTCAATTTGAATTAATTGGATCAATTCGGTTAAGAAATATTTTGATTTTAGTTATAAGTAAAACTACATACATGTAACTCCACCGGGATAATTCAAATGTAGAAAACAAATCCGATCATGTCTTTAATCCCATTATAACTTTTATATCAGTTAAAAGCACTATACGGCTGTGTTTTTTTGACGTAGAGTAACTGACACATCCAATCAAGGTTATAGCTGACTACTAAGCTCATGACCTTAACTAAAGTCTCTATCACGGCACATTGGCCCAACAACTGATGCTAGGGTGTGTTACCGGCGGAGTAATGCGCAAGGGCTACCACGCAGTAGATACGTTGTCGGATGGATAAAACAGGCCCATTATGCATAGGGTGGAGGCCCTCTATATCTTCTTGTATTTAGAGGAACTAAAATTAGGTAATATATCTATGTTGCCAATATTTCAGTTTCCTTTATTTCAATCGCCAACGTGTAAAACAGTGGAATAAAATGAGCCTATACGGCTAGTATAAGTGTTCTGATTTACACTAATACAGAATAGCTGTCAAGATTTGCAAACAATGTACGTGTATATTGTTTCTGAAATATTAACAGGCACAACACAATTACATGTACTTCATAAAGAGTTGTTACGGTGAACAGATTAATAAAACCAGTAACCTTATTATAAACCTTGGCGACTACTTATAATGTCCGATTGAAATAATCTATTTACCATGTTAGTTGCCAAATTAAAGTATAGTGCTTGTGACAGCGCTATTACGATTGATCGCCAACTTTTTAATCGACAGGTTTATAAAGCCAAATCGCCAAATGTAAAGACCACAAAAATGTCACTTAACGAATTTCCATTTTCCATTTTCAAGGATCTGAAACATTGGTAGGAAAGGCGAACTTTGCACAGACACCTCCATCACTTTCGAATTTCTTACACATATAGCCGTGTCAAGTTTCTCACTCATTGTCCGCCATTTTGATGCCGTACGGTCGAAGGTGATACACCACGTACTCCAAACCGTACATTAACTGAGGTGAAATATAATGGAAGGAAACGGCGTAATCGCTGATACTGTTCTGGCCCTGAAACGTTTAAAATTGGCCTGGTTATATGAACGTCTGATATATCGGTATCAAAATATTACGAGTAATTGATTACGTTGATTTGCCACACGGACATCAAATGGTTCTATATATCGAAAGAGCGATAACTCTTACATTCCGGAATTGCTTGTACAACGCATTAACAAAATAGCAATACATAAATAGTTTATTTCATTTGAGATGTAATGAGGCATGTGATTGGTCAATCGAAATGCCGCCAAACATTTCAAAATAAGGAGTGTTACCCCATTCTATACAGGACTCAATGGTACATCTAGAATAGGATAACTATATATAACAGTTCACGTGTAAAATATTATCATTTATCGATGGTGTCATTGAAAATGCCTTGTATGCGATACATACGCTTCCTGTTTGGGTAAACCTGCATTTCTTTCTCAATTAAACATGATTAAACATACTTTTATTTGTATAATCTTTTTCTATAATTGGGTTTGATTTAAAAGGTGTTTTGTCATTTCAAAATGTGCAATATCATAAGTTTTCGCTGTGAAAACATGTCGTTTAGATGTTACTTACAGACTTTGCTCCGTTAGCGTCGTATCTGATGTACCATTCAGGGTATTTCCCAAATAAGTGACCCCATGGCTGAAAACAGTGGAATCTGCTCCTTCCCAGGGAGTCTGTACTGTTAACAATTCTCACCCCCACATTCTGCATGCAGCCACCCTGTTGTAAACACACAAAAACCTCATAATTGCTAAACAAAATACAAACCTGGGGTTTTTTCAAATCGCTTAGCAAGGAATATGTCATACGTAAATGTCATAAAATGCAATCCTCCGAATTTCTTTGTTATGCTAACTGACGTTCAGTAAATTTCTTGAATATGTCATTTAGGACAAAATCAAAAGCACACGGCTAGCTATTCGGCTGGTGTCGAGTAAAAATAATCGCTATATGCTGATACCTGTCCTTTGAAAATTACAGAGGAGCGTCAGTCGACTTAAATGCCGGCCAATTGTTACCGTTACAATGCTGCTCGATTCGTTTCATGCACATCAAACGGATACGACTAGTTTACTTGTATTATCCACAAGGTGATGCGTACAGAACCTTCAGTTGTGTCATGGCATATTCCATTCAACCTCAGAGAGCAAAACTCCTTGCTTTTCGAGGATGAGAAACTGACTGAATTTAGCTACAATGTAATAGTGAGGTATGACGTAAGTTTACACTGGTGTTTTGTAAATGAGTAAAACAATACTAAAAAAAATGTTTATATCGTTGTTTGCATCCTTCTTACCATATGCCGGTCCTCCCCATATCCATCGATCGTGCAATTGCGGGGAAGAATCCCATTTACTACGAGCCTGCGCAATGCCTCCTTACTCAGGACATATCCGGCGCCACCACTATGGTACCCCTGTTTAACATACGGTGTGAAGTGATGTCCAAAGTAAACAGGTTCATTTGGAGAATATGGTTCTAACAAATGACGTAGGTTTTCTAAGATAACGTACGTATCATCATCCGCCTTAAGGAACCAATCAGCGTCGTCTATGTGATGTTCGTAAATATACTCGAACGCCTTCATTGTTTTTCCTGTCAGATGATGTCGACCCTCACTTATGTTGACGCCGACGGTGGGGAACGTATTGTTTGTGACAGAACTGATGAACAAGACCTTGTTACATCGTTTCGCCCACGTGTTTTTCACGTGTATAGTTTTCGTGTCCAGACTTTCAGGGTTTGTCATGATGTAACACAACACCCTCACCTTCTGCTCCAGTCGTCTCGCTACCGTATCATCGCCACCTGTATCGAAAACAACAGGTTAAACCACATAGAAACAGCAATAGTATAACTGTGTATCGATGCTCCCATTCTAAAACAATGATAAAGTAAATGAATGAAAAATATATGAGTTAAATTTGATATTCATTTTTGTAATAAAATCACGTGATGACCTAGAAATACAATGTAAGATAATCCTGATGAAATGATTAATTTATCTATATCACCAGCGTATAATCCACTATACTACACGTAGTCAATGTAATATATTAATATGTGAAGACAAAAACAAAAACAAACAAGAATGAATGCTGACAAAATATTACATGATATAATAGCATCACATGTGCTTATCTATTTGTCCAGCTTAAAGCTAGAAATGATAACGGACATATACAAGAGTTGAATACTGCAAAATAACGGCACCACCCCTCTCCCCAACCCGATCAACGAGTACTTATCGATTTTTTTCAGACGTGTTATGGTGATTAATTAATATTGTTCATAACACATGAACTTGGATACACTTTTTTTCTCGTCGTTGGGGTATCTGTATACATGTAAATGATAATGGAAATCGTAAATACGGGTTAGGGGTATTTTTCAATTTTAGAAGTGTGATTGGATACATATATTTCAGTTATATATGTATTAAAAAATGAAGAAATGTTACTGCGTAAAATTAAGTTTGTGAACGATTATTTTTTCTCTTACACCAAAGGTTACTTAATGTAATGGTTTGCAGTTAGAATGTATGATGTACCAATATAGAAGTAATGAATCGTGTTATTAATCATTAACTTGATGACTTATGATTTAAAACGTTGATGCCTAAACATAGTGTACTACACTTAACAATCTGCACGACTAGTGTGCAGTTGTCTCACCAGACAAAACATCTAATAACAAAAAACTTGTGCAAACAAAATCACATTTTCTGATTTCAAAAATAAATACGCTTGCTTAATACCAAGGAAACCCTACCTATTCATTTTCCGATCTTTCAATTGGCGAAACATTAGCTAATCGTGCTTCCTTATTACAGTCTTTCCTAATACCGACTAATAATGAGGATAAGTACATGATCCGTTTGTTTTAGATTCAAAAGTTAAAACGAGTTCTCATACACAACGTTTCATCGCATTTTCTGCTAGTTGTCCAATCAGGCAACTATCAAAGGTTAATCAGGGCTACAGTCGTGTAGTTACATAAGTGAAAGTAATAAAATGTGGATCTGAAAAACTCAAGGGAACATTTGATTAGTTATATGTACCCTGTCAGCAATTGTGTTTATCTTCTATCAGATCATTGGTATTTCCTATCAGCAACTACCATATATCGAACAAATCTGAAGGAACGCCTTCGTTATGTTATTATGAAAGCCTTTTGTTAAAAGTAATCGCAAACGGCGATATAAATATATGGTCGTGAACTTTTTTGTAGCACACTTTGTAACATAAACAAATAAATGTCCGCATAGGTGTGTCTTCCTGTGTCGTTTCCACTACCCCAGTTCTCGCTTTGAGGGCATGGCATCAGCTGGATTACTTTGATTACCATGGCGGTCGTCACAGATCATGCTTAAGAGGATTACCTTTCCTGAACACCTAGTTCTGTTGTCCTTGTACATTTTCAAGAGCCACCATGTAAATCCATCTTGTTTTATATAATGTCCTAGTCTCATCGATTTCGAGTTGGAAATTTGGTTTAGTTGAAACTTCGTATGTTTATAAATCACTCATTCCCACCTATGATACAGTATGCATGTATAATAAATGTCATTTCCGCACGCTTAATGAATTTCCTTTATTACCTGTATGACCTGGCACAATCGTATGTATCAGATGTTCACGGATGCGTCTTTTTTGTTTATATGCAGTATCACTATAATCAACAAATGTGGCAGTAAGATTGACATACGATTGGCTTGGTAAGTAGGCACTCCGTGGAACGTACCCCTAAAACTCCAGGAGTAACGTTCACTCACGGAAGGTCACGCAGCTACCTATTTGATTGGTCTAAGGTGAAAAAACCTGATTAATCGCTAAGTTGATACACGTACCTGTCCGTAAAAGGTTAGAGTAGCAAATGCCGACTTCAAAGCCAGTCAATATAACCGTTAGACTGTTGCGCAGTTCTTTTGATGTAATTCAAATTAGTCTGACTTGTATCACCACCAGGTGGCGTGTCTTCGATTTAATCATATGCAAGATGCGTACGGCGTTATGTTATGTAAAGAAAATACTTTGTATATAGTGACGTTGCATCAAACTCAGACAAACTGTACATATTAAAGATATACTCTTCTTTCTGACATTAACAACACGGTTTCGTTATGATAGCCGTCTTTAACCAATTATAATGTACCCTCGTTACATTAAATCAGCCGGTCGGTCGAAATATTCGCACAACTTATTTTTTGCATCTAACATAATTCCAATCGACAAAAATAACAAATTCCCACTATCAATCTGAAACCATCTGTCAACATTAAAAGAGAACCTGTTTAAATTGTTTGGGTAGTACATGAAAGGGTTGTATATACCTTTGTGAAATGACGCATCGCTCTCCGCTTGCCAGAGTAAAGGTTCCCCCTTGTGTTGCTTTTCTCCATGTTTGTCGTTCGCTGTTGAAGATGCAGTTGGACAAACACAGCTACTCTGTCCGGCGGACAGCCGACTGAGGACGATTTTGGAGTCGTTGCTGTACTTGAGATTCAACAGAAGCAACACGGAACCATAAACCATGGTCAGGACCACGCACCACCATACTAACAACCAAAACACATCAGGATTCTATAAACTTATATTTAATGCAAACTTCAAAACCAGAAGAATCCTCAAAATATTCAGAAAGTTCAGGTTGAATATCAACAATGTTTACCAATGTAGTAAAGATATGTGTGCTTGTGGCTATCAACACTGTTTACCAATGTAGTAAAGATAAGTGTGTCTGTGGCTATCAACACTGTTTACCAATGTAATAAAGATATGTGTGTTTGTGGCTATCAACACTGTTTACCAATGTAGTAATGATAAGTGTGTCTGTGGCTATCAACACTGTTTACCAATGTAATAAAGATATGTGTGTTTGTGGCTATCAACACTGTTTACCAATGGAGTAAAGATATGTGTTTGTGGCTATCAACACTGTTTACCAATGTAGTAAAGATAAGTGTGTCTGTGGCTATCAACACTGTTTACCAATGTAATAAAGAAATGTGTGTTTGTGGCTATCAACACTGTTTACCAATATAATAAAGATATGTGTGTTTGTGGCTATCAACACTGTTTACCAATTTAGTAAAGATATGTGTGTTTGTGGCTATCAACACTGTTTACCAATGTAATAAAGGTACGTGTGTTTGTGGCTATCAACACAATTTAAACTGCAATAGAGAACGCTTTGGTATGTAGATTTACAAATAATTGAGAGTTAAAGGACAATACGTATGTTTAAAATTACTGACAATTTCCTTTCTATTCGTACTTGGATATATCTGCGATTATTAGCGGTTCTTCATATATAACGTTAGTTTTAAGTAAAATCACATTTTTTGTTTTTAACATGCTTTCAGAACAGGTTAATTTCATGTATCTATTTTCATGATATCATATCGCTTATCCAAATACGCACTGATCCAGTGTCTTTCAAAAAAAAAAAAAAAAAAAATGCATCAAATTTCTACATTATGTTTTGTCATTAAAGGAACCTGTTTTATATCTCATTTAGATATTTAAATGTAGGACTCGCAGCTCATATCAAATCAAAATATTAATGTACTGAAAGACCCATTTCAGGACTTACCGTTTGTGGAACATCCGTTCATCCTTCGGTACCGTATATCATTTAAGAATCATCAGTAATGATAAAAAAAATATCATGTAAATTACAATTTCCTGTAATATTGCTTAGTAATATATCCACGTAATCGTCATGCTTGGGACACGAGGAGAAATGATTTATGCATTTTTTGACTATATCACATATAGTTATATCATACTGACCAAATCGATCCATGTACAAGACTTGCGGATTATTTGCGCCCGTGAATAATGAAGTATGATTGAAGGAGGGTGGCTATGTAGCATCATGTTACGAAAAACAAATGGATTTAAAAGTAACATTCCATAGACTGTAACACAACATGCAAGAAGAATAAAAGTACGTTACTAATCTAAAATTCAAATATATAAATATTGGAAAAATGATAAAATTAATGAAGTATAAAACTACTCGAACAAATGAATTAGCAAATTGACATTTCACATTTATTTCAAAATGTTCCTGATCAATTCGTTCTCTTTATACTTACATGTAAATGAAACTGGATTATTTTGAATATTACATAGTAAATTGTGAGTTTTCATTTAACTTTGAGTTTTTCAATTGACTCACTATTGCTCAAAACTGTTCCTATATATATATATGTTGAGATGCCTCTTACACGTGGAATTTAAACGTTACGATATGATTTTTTTTAATCTGAAATATTGTCTTTTGCACGTTCTCTCGTCAAGATCCTCAGGTTCTGAGGTTACAAGCGCGTGCATGCGAATTAATATAATTTACACCTGTCACCTTCTGATCGGAATACAGATTAGAGGTTCATACAACCCCGACACATAGCCAGCTGTTGCAGGCTGAGTTGATTAAACACAAGTAAATCACTTGAGCGGAAATAACCATATATCAGATAGTACGTGATGTATTTATTCAAATCAGATTGCAGGCTCTACTTTTCTTGTTTGTTTCCTAGAAGATATTTGTAGTCCAATTTGTGAGGGGGAAAATAGTTTTCTTTATAAAGCAAACAAACTGACCGAAATATCATTAATATGTTATTGGCATTAATGTGGGTGTACCATTGTATCCAATGATGTGAGCAAGGACTAATATCAGTGATTAAATAGACCTTTAAGTAGCTTATGCACAGTTCGGTATTAAGTTGCAATAGTCATACGTATGAGTTATGAGAAATACATTGACATATCTATCAATTAGTGTCAGGTTGCCCCGTGCAGTTGCAGGATCGGGGTTATTCCTCTGTGGTCTACTAAGGCAACGTTGCGAAATATCGTTATGTATCTACTGTTCCTATTTCATCACTTAGAATCTTATATTTTTTTCTCTTTCTTACTCTTTCTTTCCGACTGTGTCTCCCTAGGTATCTATGTCTCCCTAGATATCTATGTCTCCCTAGGGATCTATGTCTAGGTATCTATGTCTCCCTAGGTATCTATGTCTCCCCAGATATCTATGTCTCCCTAGGTATCTATGTCTCCCCAGATATCTATGTCTCCCTAGGTATCTATGTCTAGGTATCTATGTATCCCTAGGTATCTATGTCTCACTAGATATCTATGTCTCCCTAGATATCTATGTCTCCCTGGATATCTATGTCTCCCTAGATATCTATGTCTCCCTAGGAATCTATGTCTCCCTAGGTATCTATGTCTCCCTTGGTATCTATGTCTCCCTAGGTATCTATGTCTAGGTATCTATGTCTCCCTAGGTATGTATGTCTCCCTAGATATCTATGTCTCCCTAGGAATCTATGTCTCCCTAGGTATCTATGTCTCCCTATATATCTATGTCTCCCTAGGTATCTATGTCTAGATATCTATCTCTCCCTAGGTATCTATGTCTCCCTTGGTATCTATGTCTCCCTAGGTATCTATGTATCCCTAGATATCTCTGTCTCCCTAGGTATCTATGTCTCCCTAGTTATCTATGTCTAGATATCTATGTCTCCCTAGGTATCTATGTCTCCCTAGTTATCTATGTCTAGATATCTATGTCTCCCTAGGTATCTATGTCTCCCCAGATATCTATGTCTCCCTAGGTATCTATGTCTCCCCAGATATCTATGTCTCCCTAGGTATCTATGTCCCCCTAGATATCTATGTCTCCCTAGGTATATATGTCTCCCTAGATATCTATGTCTCCCTGGATATCTATGTCTCCCTAGATATCTATGTCTCCCAAGGTATCTATGTCTCCCTAGATATCTATGTCTCCCAAGGTATCTATGTCTCCCTAGATATCTATGTGTCCCTAGGTTTCTATGTCTCCCTAGATATCTATGTCTCCCAAGGTATCTATGTCTCCCTAGATATCTATGTGTCCCTAGGTTTCTATGTCTCCCTAGATATCTATGTCTCCCTGGATATCTATGTCTCCCTAGATATCTATGTCTCCCAAGGTATCTATGTCTCCCTAGATATCTATGTGTCCCTAGGTTTCTATGTCTCCCTAGATATCTATGTCTCCCAAGGTATCTATGTCTCCCTAGATATCTATGTCTACCTAGGTATCTATGTCTCCCTAGATATCTATGTCTCCCTAGGTATCTGTGTCTCCCTAGGTATCTGGTTTCATATATGACCTGAGCGGAAACGTTAAACCCCACACACATAAACAAACAATTGTCATGTAATCGTTTATAAAATAGAAACAATCTTACACGTCTTACACGTATAATAAACGTTGGAAAAGAAGCAATGGGTTTCTTATAATGTCCTGTCAAACGTAGATGGATTAAGTAGAAGCGTATTTGAGTATATTGGTTATATTAATTGTATTGTTCGCCAGTGTTAGGATTAACTTACATGTACTTGTCTAAACATCTGTTGAAGTCCTTAACCTTATAGATTGGTCCTTCCTTACTTAGACATCGATGACTTTTTTCTGACAGGTACTATAAATATCGTTAACACATTTTGTCCAAAAGCATTCTTATTTAGACTCTGTTGATGAAATTTCATTAATGTATTGATAACAAGAAGCCAACTGCCAGTGTGAATGGTTAGATATAGCATTTAACAATAAGGGACGTAACTCTAGAATAAATTACATGTTAAATGCATAAAGAAGCTTAACGTTATAGTAATAGCCTTTAATAATTGATGTTAATACCATATCATTAGATTTTGTGAACATATCTGATGAGCGGTTACTCATGTTCATCAGTTCCTTAACAGACGATACAGTCAGCAAATGACGTCACGAAGTGGACAAGGGAAGTAATCCCGCTTCTTCTTAAAAAGCCATAATTATAAAGAACACGCATGCAGTACGCTCGTGAAACTGTCTATTAGGTGCAATTTTTAGCAGTATAACGATTATTTGATATGTATGAGTCACATAAAAATGCTCGTAGTACACCGGTGCATTGATTGTAAGGTAATATGTTTAGATTCCACAGAGGGCAAGAAGTGTTTGTGACCTTTAATTAAACAAGTTCCCCTTGTTGCTCAATTCGACCTGCGTAGAGTTAACTAAAACATTTCAAGAGTTATAATTTACTATTTCTGTGTTGTTATATTTAATTAGTATTGTACTATAAACAAGTCGTTGGGTAAAATCGATCCAGCACCCACAGGAAATATATATAGCCATCAATGCTTCTACAACCTGCCGTATTTTAATGTCGCAGTTGATTCGGTATTCAGAAGCCTTTTCCGAAAATGATAACTATGTGATAGATTTCGACAGCTTACGAAGGAGCCTTCAACAATGAGACAAGCATTTTGTCGCCATTATGATCATATATGAAATACACTATTTTTGTATGATATGAAGGTCAGTGATTTTCATTATGCTCATTAGGTTGCCATTTTGATTTGTTGTCACTCACACAGTTCTCGTTAGGAAGACGTTACATTACACGTACTTCGATTCACCCTAAACTGACATCCGGGTATCGTCGATGAAGCAGAAGACGCTTATTTGCCTGGTATACCTGGTCTTATTCTCCTTGTACATTTGCAATGCTCTCAATGTAATTCTTTCCCTTGTTTATATTTGGCAACAGTTTTAAAGTTGTTGCGTGGGTTATTCAATTATTGATGTCCATGAAACAAGAAGTGGTTATTTTCAATATTTCCTTGATTAATGATGACGGTGAGATATATAGGATATACCGGGACTGTTGGTCGTTTTCTATTTGACTGGAAGTCGATGTTATAAAACCGATTTGTGATGTGAAGGAATCGCAAAAATTCATTTAAGCACTTGTAGCCTGTGTCAACGCCCTTTGTCAATACAATATGACCGACAGGCGCCTGAGGCTATCATTCTCTCTATTTAGGATTAATTGGAACTTCGAAGGCCATCCAGGGACTGTTAGTATGAGTCAACGCTCGGACATCCAGGGACTAGTAGCCTGTGTCAACGCTCGGACATCCAGGGACTAGTAATCTGTGTCAACGCCCGGACCTCCAGGGACTAGTAGTCTGTGTCAACGCCAGGACATCCAGGGACTAGTAGTCTGTGTCAACGCCCGGACATCCATGGACAAGTAGTCTGGGTCAACGCCAGGACATCCATGGACTAGTAGCCTGTGTCAACGCCCGGACATCCAGGGACTAGTAGCCTGTGTCAACGCCCGGACATCCAGGGACTAGTAGTCTGAGTCAACGCCCAGAACTCCAGGGACTGGTAGTCTGTGTTAACGCTCGGACATCCAGGGACTAGTAGTCTGTGTCAACGCTCGGACATCCAGGGACTTGTAGTCTGTGTCGACGCGCGGACATCCAGGGACTAGAAGTCTGTGTCAACGCCAGGACATCCAGGGACTAGTAGTCTGTGTCAACGCCCGGACATCCATGGACTAGCAGCCTGTGTCAACGCCCGGACATCCAGGGACTAGTACTCTGTGTCAACGCCCGGACATCAATGGACTAGTAGCCTGTGTCAACGCCCGGACATCCAGGGACTGGTAGTCTGTGTTAACGCCAGGACATCAAGGGACTAGTAGTCTGTGTCAAAGCCCGGACATCCAGGGACTGGTAGTCTGGGTCAACACCCGGACATCCATGGGCTAGCAGCCTGTGTCAACGCCCGGACATCCAGGGACTGGTAGTCTGGGTCAACTCCCGGACATCCAGGGGCTAGTAGCCTGTGTCAACGCCCGGACATCCAGGGACTAGTAGTCTGTGTCACCGCCCAGACATCCAGGGACTGGTAGTCTGTGTCAACGCTCGGACATCCAGGGACTATTAGTCTGTGTCAACGCCCGGACATCCAGGGACTAGTAGTCTGTGTCAACGCCCGGACATCCAGGGACTGTTGGTATGAGTCAACGCCCAGATATCCAGGGACTGGTAGTCTGTGTCAACGACCGGACATTCAGGGACTGTTAGTATGAGTCAACGCCCGGATATCCAGGGACTAGTAATCTGTGTTAACGCTCGGACATCCAGGGACTAGTAATCTGTGTCAACGCCCGGACATCCAGGGACAAGTAGTCTGTGTCAACGTCCGGACATCAATGGACTAGTAGCCTGTGTCAACGCCCGGACATCCAGGGACTGGTAGTCTGTGTTAACGCCAGGACATCCAAGGACTAGTAGTCTGTGTCAACGCCCGAACATCCAGGGACTAATAGTCTGTGTCAATGCCATATAACCGGAAATGCTTTTTGTCGAACTCTCCAGTTGTAATTACAAGTGAGTGTGTGGGACATTCAGTGACTGTTAGTATGAGTCAACGCCCAGACATCCAGGGACTGGTAGTCTGTGTCAATGCCCGGACATCCAGGGACTAGTAATCTGTGTCAACGCCCGGACATCCAGGGACTAGAAGTCTGAGTCAACGCCCGGACATCCAGGGACAAGTAGTCTGTGTCAACGCCAGGACATCCATGGACTAGTAGTCTGTGTTAAGGCCCGGACATCCAGGGACTAGTAGTCTGAGTCAACGCCCGGACATCCAGGGACTGTTAGTATGAGTCAACGCCTAGTTATCCAGGGACTCGTAGTCTGTGTTAACGCCCGGACATCCAGGGACTAGTAGTCTGTGTCAATGCCATATAACCGGAAATGCTTGTTGTCAAACTCTCCAGTTGTAATTACAAGTGAGTGTGTGGGACATTCAGGGACTGATGACCGCTGTCAATACCATATGGCCGCAGATGGTAGACGTAAAACTCGAATTTATACATGTTTATCTTCAGCGGTGGTACGACATGAAACGATATGGCGTAGTCACTAATACTCTCCATACCCTGAAAAATACAGATGCAGATTTTGAGTTAGACCAAAAAGTAATACTATCCCAAGTAGTGTACAGCAGTTACATTCCACGAGGGTTGCATCGTCCATTGGACTTTTCATTATAACATGTCAAACATGCTTGTTGTTATAACCATTTAGCATTAAGGATGGCTTAGCACTGACATAAGCATTCTTAAGCAGACTGATATTCCGTCTTTGCGTATTGCAGAGTTATCTTCTCTTGTAAACAGGTTTTGATTGTTACGTTATTTGTTTGTGAGAGTAACGTCATCAATTTTTGAGAAAACAAGGTAACTTTCTCACACAAACCAATGACACAACAATCAATACCTGCTCACAAGAGAAGATAACTCTGCAATACGCAAAGACGGAAAAGACTTATGAGAAGAATTACATAGGTTTAGCATGTTGTTGAAGTATTTCACACTCAACTCTCTAATATCTAATACTGTAGATTTGATTTACTGTATTGACAATAAATTATTTTGAAATTGAAAATATATTTGTAAACATTACTGATATGCATTTCTTTGTTGTAATTCTTAACCACCGCACATCCATATGTTCATCTCGGTCTCGTGTTCAAAACAGTTTTCATGTTCCAGTTGCCAGTATAGATACTCAAATTAATGTCATGAAATGTATTCTCTTAATATTTCGACGTAAAACTTTTTGAATGCAAGTGTAAATTAGTTTCTGTTCTGACGTCTAGCTGATTATCAATTACGGTATGGCGTTTCAGACTTCATATACTTGGGTAAATTAATTTCCATTTTAACGTTTAAATGAACAGATTCTGTTGTAAAAGAATTAATTTTATTTACATTTAGCTGGTGTAAATTAATTATCCTACTACAACTAACATTACGGATGGTGTTAAAATTAAACTCTCCTATTTGACAGATGAATAAGTTCTCTAAAAATTTACTTTCCTTATGAAATTAATGTTAAAGAATTACTGTACTGGTTTTGACTGTTCCGGTGATTTTTGTCTTTTTTTTTTTTAATATAACTATCTCGATGAAACCAACCTGCTTTGCTCCATTGACGTCGTATTGGTAGTACCACCCCGGATATTCTCCGGATAACTGTTTCTCCAGATCAAAACAATGGAATCTGCTGCGTCCTAGTCTGTCTGTAGAGTCAGCAGTCTCAACGCCCAGATACTCCATGCATTTCCCTAATTCAACATCTACTTCGGCTCCGTATTGGCAACTACTATATGTTACACCATTCATCGCTAAGCGGCGTAGTGCCTCTTTACTCAGTACATGTCCCCCTCCTGCGCAATAGAATCCCTGTTTCACAATGGATTTAAAACTATGTCCAAAATATACGGCGTCGTTAGGTGAATGGGATGACAAGAAATATCGAAGGTTTTCTAAAATCACAAAGGAATCGTCGTCTATTTTTATAAACCAGTCTGCCTCGTTAAAATGTTTCTCAAATATGTACCTGAAAGCTGTCATCGTTTTTGCAGTAAGATGTTCCCGCCCTTCCGGAATATCGAAGCCCACAGTTGGGAAAGTTGTGTTTGTTGTTGAGCTGATATAAACCACCACGTTGCATCGTTTTGCCCACGTATTTTTCACATTCGTTGCTTTGGTATCCAAGGCCTTTGAACTTGTCATTATCATGCACAAAACTCGAATATTCCGTTTTAAGTCTCTTGCAATTTCGTCCTTATCTGTAATGAAATCAATTGCATCAGTTTGAGTGGGAAACAACAGTTTTGAAAAATACATTTCCGCTTTTACCAATTTATAATCAAATAACATGGCAATAAAAAGAATATATTAATCTATAGTAGTATGATACCTTAATATATGCTATATTTAAATTCGTGTTCCAGTCTTTTGTTTTAACAAAACTTCAGCATGTTTTGTGGATTGCTCCCAAAGTTACATCAATTTCGATTCTCGCAATCATAATGTTATTTTCCTTGGTGGTTTTTTTTAATTTTTATATACAAGATGCTTACATGTTAGGTATAAATATGGTATGTTATCACTTATGTAGTATTCCTTACCGGTGTTGACTTTTTTTAACTAACTTGGATACTTTAAACTGTTACGGAGTCAAACTTCCGTTTCCACGAAGTGGCATGTTAAAGTTGTGATTATTTAAAGCAGTTCATGAGTAGCCATACATTTAACATAGAATTCCACTGTCATTTGAATGGTTCATAGGCATACTAACACAATTACACATCAAACAACCAAATTAAATGCAGTCAATGCATCTGTAATGGTGTAAACACAAGCCTCGTATACTATATAGTCTTGCCCAAAACTAACATAATTGTTTTTCATATTGAGGGCGAAATGAGTAAATCTCAACTATCCAGATTAAATTCTTTCAATTTGTGAATTTAAGAATCCCTTTCCTAGATATGCCTGTTCATGGTATGATAACATATGCATGCTATTCCATACCTTTATGGAAAGCAGAGTCATCAACTAAAGCCCCGCTCCAAGTTTCCTGTTTGGGTCGATTCGTATACGTCCCATACTTGTCCTCCTGTTCTGGTTTTTGTGTTTGTCCCGTATCCGCTGTGGCTCCGGTAGCATTAATTCCAAACTCTGATGTTTTATTCTTGTCGACAAACCGGAAACTGTCAAAAGTGACGTAACTACCCACCATTGTCGGGTAATTAAGTGAGGATAGACTGAGAAGCACAACACCAATCAACAAACCACTAATCAAACCGAGGCAGAAGTTCACACTGGTAAGCTGAGGAAGACAGACTGAAACATAAAGAGATAGATGTTTATAAAGTCATTTATCATATAACTGACCTTTTTTACTATGTCATAAATATGGTATTACACACGTGTAATACAAACTAAAGGTGCTCCGAATGGTCAAAACCGTGGGAAAATATTCCTACAGCACTACAGGTACTACTTCTATTTCCCATAACACAGGCTACGTTTACTGTTATTTTGAATGAATTTCAAATGTTTATTGTCATATCATTTTTATTGCATTCAAAACTATTTATCTTTAAGGACAAAAAAAACTACTTTGCACTGCGCAGAACGATACTTTGGTTTTACCTTTGTAGAGCCAATTGTGTATAAAGGTTTTTTTCTTCAAATTATTAATGTTATGAGATAAATTGAATCTTACAATGGTGTCCATGTCATATTGATTTTTATTAAATTCGTGCAACAAATTGATATGGCCCTCGCCTAAAGGCTTGTGTCATATCAAATTATTGAACTCGCTTAATAAATTCAATATGACATGGACACGAATGTAAGATCCTCTATATGTTTACTAAGTAACCTAATACCATCACCAGGAACTGAACAAAATTATAGGTAACATAATAAACTGTAACACGGAGACTAACGTTACACCAAGAACACTCTACGACATTCTTTATGACGTCAATTATTCTATACATGTACCAACAAAAACGTTTTAACTTAACCAAGCTGATACTATCATCAATACAGCAAATTAAACTGGGATTTCCTTTGCAGTGTAGATATATTTGATTATAACATAAACGATGCATAAAATTTTAAAAATATTTCAGGAAAATCGAGCACACAATGCATTACTAGATACAAATGCTAACTGTTTTGCTTCTAGTGTGTTGAGTTCAGTCTAACATACATATACTTCCATATAACACGTTTTCTCAAAATTGCAATTGCCAGTACAAGCACAAGGGATTGTTGATATCATAAGAATGCTTACCGTAGTTAATTTTGGCATTTCGAGACATCATCCAAGTTTTCGTTTCCAGATCCTTTAAGCGTGTCCTCTTATAATCAGTAGCCAAAATAATCCTAAATGCGTCCCACGCAGATCCCGTTATCCATGGGAACAAGACGAATATGTCGGTATGTAACGGTGAACATACATCTCCACAGCGATAGTCCCACAGTCAGTCCTGCACGGTTTATTTATCATTGGCCCCGTCGTTATGTACACGACGACATACTTCATCAATGTGGGTCAGGTATACTGTTTTTACCACATTAGTGTTTCCCTACATGTGTATAGTAACCGGTCTTTGACAGCAACTAACAACGTCTCGTCATCACCGCCATCAATCATGGCTCGTTTGCTGACATTTACTATGGAAACAATATGTGTTCTTCTCGGGCGATTAGTGCGTATCGTCATACACTAAAAAATACTACAAGTTTGTGTACAGTGTACATAACGCTGTTCTGCGATACATGTAGTTTATATCATGACCGCTACTTGAGCATGGAACCTAACTCTCTTATTCTATCATATTCAATAATGCTGAAATAAAAACAAATTTCTTAGATAAACATGAAACAACCAAATCAGAATATTGTGATAAACTGGAGTTGTCGCAACTTTTTATTTTTTGTGTTATTGAAAACACTCGATTGTTGGCGACAAAAACCTAACAAAAATATGTATATATACGATATAGGATAACATCCTATGTTTTCCAGGTCAACAAAATGATTAAAAATTGAAAATGAATTGCCGACACGTTTATTAATGGAATACAACGGAGTGAAAGTATGGGAAAGGCTACCATATTGTTTTCTATATAGAACTAATAACCAAAATAAAAATAAAAACATTTAGTTTAAGCTTTGTCTTCTTTGCATTCACGTCATTTATTTGATACCCAGCCAGCCTACACGTCTTCATGGTTTTATTTAATTCATAAATTAGGCCGTTTTACACACCTGCCCCTTTAAAACCATGAAAAAGTAAGAGTCACATTTTTGATTTGTTTGACCATAGAGAAATTAAGTGTTACATGTATACTCTTTAATACCGACACTATTTGCGGGTTTTTTCAGGGTGGACGGGAAAACTGTTAATCAAGAAATATGCTGGAAGCCTTTTAATTTGGCTATCATCATAAAATACCCATTTATATGTAATTTCGTAAAAATGAATTCAAAATTTCTGACAATGTTTGTTTAAATACTTATAAACATATATTCCGGCTATGATAGACACGATTTTAATTATTTTAATCTGATGTGTATTCTGTTGCAAGTTTTGCGAAGGCGCAAAAAGGTTTGAGTATTATATTATTTCTAAAAAGGTCCATATATTTAATAAAAACTGATTATCAAACAAATGATGATTTATTTATTTTTATTAAAATAGATTGAAATATAATAAACTGGTCATGCGCATCACCAAACACATCTATTTAAGCTATGTCTGGTGTCCGGCAGACAGCTCACACACCTGGCAGGTTAGACTATTGCCTGAAGCATCCACTTGGCGGTTAACGTTCATCATGGAAGAACGTGATAAAATGGGACTCTACTTTGTTACTGCTAACTGGTGATTCGAGTCCTTAGAATGACATTTTGAAAACAAGCGTTTTCGTTTATATTCATTATGTTCGTTTATAACTTACTTTCATTTCAGTCTATTTCAAAAATGCACGTTCAAAATTTCAGTTATTTTCATCTTCTGTTTCTTGTATTCATTTCTAATATCAACATTCAGGCTGCCAGTGAGCTACTAAATTATGTTTTAGCAAGGCTTTCTTGTTTTTAATGTATGTGACACGAAATCGCAGTGTAGTCGGCACGTGGTTCAGATTGTATAGACCAGTATACATTGTACTAGGTTTGTTTATCCTAGATATAACCAACTATAAATACCAACGTCACCACTTCTGTCAGCATTTTACCTGTAAACATGTATTGCACTAATTTATCGTTTATATACATATCTATTATTCGACTAAATTGCTTACATTTGTTACCGCTATTGGTTGGGAAAAGAACATTAACGTTCACCATATGTTTGCTCTGTAAATCTTTAATGTACGTAGTAGGCTCCATGTAATAGTATGAAATGTGCATGGCCATTGCCTCCACAACTGGTGTCACAGACATGAAAGAGCAAACTACAAGAGAGCCGCCTTATGGTCCTATCTTAAAGATAAGGTCCTGTTGATAAAAACATCCTTGTCTAAAGTATTCCTTAAAACAACAAGAGAAAACATTCAATGCTGGGCTGGACCACCCAACGTTGGGCTAGTTTGGTATTCAAATGTTGCTAACATAATAGGTCTTATGCCGCTGTTTCACACATATACCACTACAGGGCATCGTCTAAGGTATCCACATAGAAAATGGCATCAATGATAAATGATCAACGATCAACTGAATTTCAGTCCAAAATCATTAGTTTTTCGTTTTGAACGTGCCAGGGCATATTGTCACAGGTCTTATGCCGCTGCTTCACACCTACAATGTATACCACTACAAGCCATCGTCTGAGGTATTCACATACGAAAGGGCATCAACGATAACCCAGTCTAAATATGCCAATCCCACTGGCCACTTTTTTTCGAATTTTAGTCTTGGGTATCGTTGATGCCGTTTTGCAGGTCGATACCTTAGAAATACCCTGTTGAGGTATAGGTGTGGACCAGCGGCATAGGACCTATAGCATTCTGCCCTGGCATGGTTCATTCTATACTGAAATTCGAAAACAAATCATACAATGTAGTTCCAACATTGTGTCTTATACATCATTAAATGGAATCTCATATGATATCCGCTACATATTATATTTTGATATAACAGATATATTGTTTTTTTAATTTAAAAACGAAGCTGATGAACTTTGTTCATTTTTTTGTGATATTACAGGGTTCTGCCAAGCCTAGTACCATCCCTGGTCTGGAACCAACAACACAAGTGTAAGTTAAATATACCAGCATTTACCTTAATAATAGCAGTAATAAAACATAATGACCATGTCTATAAATAGGATGTAAAACACAAACAAACCAAATTTGAAGGAGCAAGGAAACTGGCTCTACTGGGAAGGAGAATGAGTGCTTGCTCCATTACAGCATGGTTTCCTTTTCAGATGTGACTACAATGTACTTTCCTTTCCTAGGAACTTGTGCACTGGAGCTGCAATAAGGACCAAGTACCTGTGCCAGTGAATTGCTAACCTTGATTCTTTATTCCTCTGTCCAGTCGTACCCGGAGAGTTCTACAGGAAAAACCCAATCTATATGACATTGCATAGAGGAAGCGATTTAGCAATTATCAATTTGGATCAGTGCCCTTAGAACCATCCATGAGTTCATTAGATTGCAGCTAACATACATCTCGACTGAGCATTAAAATATCAGCTTTGTATACTGTAGTTGTGCCTAGTTACTTAGTAACGTTCTAGTTCAGCCAGGCAGATGGGCTGTATACCAGGTAGTTTTTGAAGGAATATTATGAAGGAACATTATATTTTCAGAAAGATTCAACTGCAAACTCAATAATGCAGCAAGAATGTTCAGTTTGAGGAATAATTGTAAGACGAAGTACAACATACAGTTCACATTATTGACAAATATCCGCATAAATTTAAATTTGCAGTCAATTAAATTTGCATTCCATTCACGTTTTAGTCTAGGTTTACTGTTAAAAAATGTTGATATGGACTAATTTAATTGTTTTATACAAACGTGGTATTTCAACAAATTAAAAATACCACAATGTTACAATCGGATTAAGAGCTCAACAAAAAGTTTAAAATTACAGGAACAACCTCTATTTGGGGAACTCTACACTGAATAAATATCGATTTGCAAAACAAAAATGTGAAAATAATCCTGCAAAGCTCTATGCAGTAGTAATATTCTTATTGTTTATGAAAATCAACACTCGACAAACAACATTCCAGTTCCTCTCAAGATTTGTTAATTTATATCCATAGTACTGGTACTAATGTTTCCTTACTCAACAACCATAAGGATCCAGGGCCTAATGCTACCGTACTCACAAATGTTACCTTACTCAACAACCATACGGATCCAGGACCTTATGCTACTGTACTCACAAATGTTTCCTTACTCAACAACCATAAGGATCCAGGACCTAATGCTACCGTACTCACAAATGTTACCTTAATCAACAACCATAAGGATCCAGGACCTTATGCTACTGTACTCACAAATGTTTCCTTACTCAACAACCATAAGGATCCAGCACCTAATGCTACTGTACTCACAAATGTTACCGTACTCAATAACCATAAGGATCCAGGACCTAATGCTTCTGTACTCACAAATGTTACCTTACTCAACAACCATAAGGATCAAGGACCTAATGCTACTGTACTCGCAAATGTTTCTTTACTCAACAACCATAAGGATCCAGGACCTGATGCTACTGTACTCACAAATGTTACCTTAATCAACAACCATAAGGAGCCAGGACCTTATGCTACTGTACTCACAAATGTTACCTTACACAACAACCATAAGGATCCAGGACCGCATGCGACTGTACTCACAAATGTTACCTTACTCAACAGCCCATAAGGATCAACAACCTAATGCTACCGTACTCACAAATGTTTCCTTATTCAACAACCATAAGGATCCAGGACCTTATGCTACTGTACTCACAAATGTTACCTTACACAACAACCATAAGGATCCAGGACCGCATGCGACTGTACTCACAAATGTTACCTTACTCAACAGCCCATAAGGATCAACAACCTAATGCTACCGTACTCACAAATGTTTCCTTATTCAACAACCATAAGGATCCAGGACCTTATGCTACTGTACTCAGAAATGTTTCCTTACTCAACAACCATAATGATCCAGGACCTAATGTTACTGTACTCACAAATGTTTCTTTACTAAACAACCATAAGGATCCAGGACCGCATGCTACTGTACTCACAAATGTTATCTTACTCAACAGCCATACGGATCCAGGACCTAATACTACTGTACTCACAAATGTTACCTTACACAACAACCATAAGGATCCAGGACCTAATGCTACCGTACTCACAAATGTTTCCTTATTCAACAACCATAAGGATCCAGGACCTTATGCTACCGTACTCACAAATGTTACCTTACTCAACAACCATGCTACTGTACTCACAAATGTTACCTTACTCAACAGCCATAAGGATCCCGGACCTAATGCTACTGTACTCACAAATGTTCCCTTACTCAACAACCATAATGATCCAGGACCTAATGTTACTGTACTCACAAATGTTTCTTTACTAAACAACCATAAGGATCCAGGACCGCATGCGACTGTACTCACAAATGTTACCTTACTCAACAACCATAAGGATCCAAGACCTAATGCTACTGTACTCACAAATGTTTCTTTACTCAACAACCATAAGGATCCAGGACCGCATGCTACTGTACTCACAAATGTTACCTTACTCAACAGCCATACGGATCCAGGACCTAATACTACTGTACTCACAAATGTTACCTTACTCAACAACCATAAGGATCCAGGACCTAATGCTACTGGACTCACAAATGTTTCTTTACTCAACAACCATAAGGATCCGGGACCTAATGCTACTGTACTCACAAATGTTAACTTACTCAACAACCATAAGGATCCAGGACCTAATGCTACTGGACTCACAAATGTTTCTTTACTCAACAACCATAAGGATCCAGGACCTAATGCTACTGGACTCACAAATGTTTCTTTACTCAACAACCATAAGGATCCAGGACCTGATGCTACTGTACTCACAAATGTTACCTTACACAACAACCATAAGGATCCAGGACCTAATGCTACTGTACTCACAAATGTTAACTTACTCAACAACCATAAGGATCCAAGACCTAATGCTACTGTACTCACAAATGTTACCTTACTCAACAGCCATAAGGATCCAGGACCTAATGCTACTGTACTCACAAATGTTTCCTTACTCATCAGCCATAAGGATCCAGGACCTAATGCTACCGTACTCACAAATGTTTCCTTATTCAACAACCATAAGGATCCAGGACCTTATGCTACCGTACTCACAAATGTTACCTTACTCAACAACCATAAGGATCCAGGACCTAATGCTACTGTACTCACAAATGTTACCTTACTCAACAACCATAAGGATCCAGGACCTAATGCTACTGTACTCACAAATGTTTCCTTACTCAACAACCATAAGGATCCAGGACCTAATGCTACTGTACTCACAAATGTTTCCTTACTCAACAACCATAAGGATCCAGGACCTAATTCTACCGTACTCACAAATGTTTCCTTACTCAACAACCATAAGGATCCAGGACCTAATGCTACTGTCCTCACAAATGTTTCCTTACTCAACAGCCATAAGGATCCAGGACCTAATGCTACCGTACTCACAAATGTTACCTTACTCAACAACCATAAGGATCCAGGACCTAATTCTACCGTACTCACAAATGATTCCTTACTCAACAACCATAAGGATCCAGGACCTAATTCTACCGTACTCACAAATGATTCCTTACTCAACAACCATAAGGATCCAGGACCTAATGCTACTGTCCTCACAAATGTTTCCTTACTCAACAGCCATAAGGATCCAGGACCTAATGCTACTGTACTCTCAAATGTTTCTTTACTCAACAACCATAAGGATCCAGGACCTAATGCTACCGTACTCACAAATGTTACCTTACACAACAACCATAAGTATCCAGGACCTAATACTACTGTATACTGGATATATTTAACGCTTTTTTTAACCAAACACCATCCACTATGACACAGTTAACTTTACATAGTATCTACAGAAATGGAGAAAACACGTTGTGAACAGGATTTGTACTGACGAGGAGTGAGTATATGAGTGGACAAAGGATTCCTGGCAAGAGTCTGCAACAAGGCAATCTCAAATGAACACCTCAAATATGGGTAGTTTATTCATTTTCTCTCATTTCCGTGTGTGTAAGAAAGAGCTCTCCATGGTAAGAAAGGGGCGTAATAAATTTCCATCTTACACCAGGTTTCACATTAAATTACATCACAATTGCTTAACAATGATGTGACATTGAGAATTTTCCTAATTTCTGTGTGTGTAAGATAGGGCTCTCCAGGGTAAGAAAGGGGTGTAAGAAATTTCTATCTTACACCTCCTTTCATGTTAATGACGTCACAATGACCTGACATCGACAATTCTCAAAAGTCCAATGCTGCAAGATTCGTTTTCGTCAAAAAAGCTCAGCGGAAAAGTTGATATTTTCAAAATGGTAACCAGCTGTCTAAACCATAATTCACTAGGAATCACTCAGGTGGATTTTCCTGATCCTTCACCACTGGGCATGAAAGTGTCTTATAATACATCTATTCAGCAACTTTTTAAATGACAGACAGCCAGTTTACCATATGCACTTTTCAAATGTTTTCGTATCACAGCCAAAGTATATTTAAACTAAACATGTACCTGTGTTACAAACAAAAAGAACTAACTTATGTATGTTTATTATAACAATCTCTCTTTCTGTTACAAAGAGAACTAACTTACGCATGTTTATTATAACAATCTCTCTTTCTGTTACAAAGAGAACTAACTTACGTATGTTTATTATAACAATCTCTCTTTCTCTTACAAACAAAGAGAACTACATTTCACTTCTGAAACTAGAGAAAAAAAACAAATTCTCACACATACATCTTTAAAATTTATTACCAGAATCATGTGTTTAGGCCAGTGGAATACCAGTCTAAGTTTGGCATTTCAAACGATTTCTGTTCTGTCACAATGTCTTTTTTCTGTCTGTCCTGTTTCCCTTTAGAGGATGTGTCCGTTTTTGATATAGAAACCTCTTTATCCTCCACCTCCATGTCGGATTCTGAATCGGAATTTGTCGTCACTTTTTCTTCCTCATCTGATGCATCGTTGTCATCTTCATCCTTAATCAGTTGAGCAGAGCTGCAATCAAACAATCAAACTATATTCTCAGGAAATAGAGTAAAATCATACAGTATTTCCTATAAAGGTATTTTAGTGATCCTACCAAAAGCAAAAAGAATCTAATCACACTGTGTTAGACACCAAAGTTTAACCTCCACATCATACCTAATTTATCTTCTTTGAAATCAGAATATCACTAAAGTGAAAGTGCTATCAGTATTGGTATTGATTTATAATTACAACAGAAAATTGCAAAGCTCTACAAATGTTAATTTGTTCAGAGTCAACCTAAGTGTGGCGACAATAAAAGTTATTCATAATGATTTTTGTTTAAAGATGTACTTCATATTGGGGAAATTTTTACCATGTCGACCCTCGCCCTTCACTCATGAAATCAATTTTAGCCATGGGTTAATTTCGCTCTTCACATTTAATTATATATATTATTGTTATTATGCTGTTTACATATATTTGCTGTTTTGATAAATTTGCCCTCATTATGGTGGGCGAAAAAAGGCGAAAATTAGCAAAAACCTTTCCCGGTGTTCATTAATACAGTATATTATATCTTGTATGCAATTTCCTCCGGTGTCGATTGTCTGGGATGACTGGGGATTGTTTGTTACATAAAAAGGCACCAATTTAACTTCTACTGAAAATTTAACAAAATATTAACCCACCGTTCATATAAAACTATAAGTATTATGCCTTTGCGGTCTACCTGTTGATAAAGTATTCAACATAAACATATGAAGAATGGCTTACCTGTGTGATTTTTCTCGGATCAGTAGGGCGTGTATAAAGGTGTTACATAGACTCGTTACAGGTGCCTGAACGTGGGAGGCGGTCTCCAGTAACTGCAACATCGGTAAATTACAACTTATCAAACACAAAAAACATTTCAATAAACAGCTTACTGCTGTCGTGACTGGTTGTCTCCAAACTTACACTGCGGATGTGACCATTGAAAGATTTCCAACGACTTATGTTCTAAAAATGTTAACAGAATGCTATAGTTAAGATATTGCAAAATATGTAATAATATAAAATAATAATTTGAGGTTCTTATATATCGCTTTATCACAACCTAGTTTGTAGGTCGTCTCAAAGCGGTGCACAAATTATTATCCGAGGTTATAGGGCCTTTGTAACCAGCCAATATCTTTCTCAACTCCCTGGGGAGCATACAGCTGGAGCTGCCATTTTGGTGCTCACAGCTAGCATTCAACAGTTCTAGCACTACCCAACCACATACTCATTTATAGCTGAGGAGACTGAAACAAGCAGAGTAAAGTATCTTGCTCGAAGATGCAACACAGTGCCGTGACGCGAGTCGAACCCGCAACCCTTCGGTCACGAGCCCAGCGTCTCACCATTAGACTACCGTGCCTCACGTTTCAAGTTTCAAGTTATTTTGTTAGGAGATATAAGTGAGAATCAAATATGTTTGGAATACTGATTTATACACATTTAAACGGGAAATATATAACTGTATATTTCACGAGTTAAAATCCGTGCTTATAAGTTAGTAACCCTTTCACCCCTATGTAACTTTAGTAGACTCTACCATGCATTGATCAGGATGAGTTCATTATGGTCTCCAGTGGTGAAAGGGTTAACAGATAATTAAGTCCAAACTATACATCCTCCTTCTAAAACAAAACTTGGAATGTAATACCTTGGTGACTCAGGCTTTGAGCTTAATACTCAATATTTACAAAACATAAAAAAAGTGAACTGAAATCCACATAACACATCTGATGACTGTCAGACTTTTAGTAAAAGAGTGATAGAGCTACACGTAAAGTCTAATTAAGATGTCGTACAGAAGATCAGAGGTTAAAGGCAAACACTTAATTCATAATGCACTCTCCAATATGCTACGGGGGTTAAAACTTGATGACAAAGTTTAGGATATCAGAACCACAGTGTTATAGTATGGACATGTACAGGTGGTCTTGGAGTGGGGGAGCACTTTGTGTTTTATGTAAAGAGTATCAGGATGTGTTTCACTAGAGCTTGATATAAGAGTTTTTGCACGTGTTCCACTGGAGTTTTATGTAAGGATATTCAGACTTTTATGTTAGAGTATTCGGATGTATTACACTTGAGTTTTATGTAAGGATATTCAGACTTTTATGTTAGAGTATTCGGATGTATTCCACTAGAGTTTTATGTAAGAGTATTCGGACATATTCCACTCGAGTTTTATGTAAGAGTATTCGGACGTGTTCCACTCGAGTTTTATGTAAGAGTATTCGGACGTGTTCCACTAGAGTTTTAAGTAAGAGTATTCGGACATATTCCTCTACAGTTTTATATAAGAGTATTCAGACATGTTCCACTAGAGATTTATGTAAGAGTATTCGGACGTGTTCCACTAGAGATTTATGTCAGAGTATTCTGACGTGTTCCACTAGAGATTTATATAAGAGTATTCGGATGTATTCCACTAGAGTTTTATTTAAGAGTATTTGGACGTGTTCCACTAGAGTTTTATGTAAGAGTAACCGGACGTGTTCCACTAGAGATTTATGTAAGAGTATCTGGACATGTCTTACCTGAGATGTAAACTGTGATGCAGTTGTGTACACTTCGCTCTCTAGTTCTCTGTAGGCAGATGGCTGAAATCCCTTCTTCCGTTCCGCAGTCAGCAGGGCACTGAAGGGTGTCTGGGGAAGGTTTGTCTTTATAGGTATCTAGGGTAGAAAAACAAACAGTAAGAACACATATAAAGTAAAACCAAATTAATTCAGGATAAATCTAAGAGTTGATGTTGTTATCTAATAATCTGGGAAAATACTGAACAAATACAACAAGCTCTATGTAAATCAAACTTATATACACCAGGGAAACATTGTTTTCTTTAAGAATACATAGTTTTGGTTTTGACAATAGTGTTTGATTGATATGCTTGTTACTGACTTGGCTCAATGTTTGATACTGACATTGCTCAATGCTTGTTACTGACATTGCTCAATGCTTGATACTGACATTGCTCAATGCTTGATACTGACATTGCTCCATGCTTGATACTGACATTGCTCAATGCTTGTTTTTGACTCGGCTTCAGGAATTTTTCTTACTCAATAAGCAGAAAGGAGTGTAGTTGTAATTGGAAATCCTATTAAATATTCCTAATGTCTGGGATTTTTGCAGTAAATGTAACATATAGACAGTCCTGGATTAAACAGAGATCCTTAAAGCTACACACAGAACAAAAGACATAAGGCATAACTTTCCTATACACTACACACATGGAGGCACGTCCTTAAATGACCTTAGCTGTTAATAGGACGTTAAACAAAGTTAAACCAAACTTTTAAACGGGTAGCACTAACATAGTTATTGATTAATTTGAAAAACGAAAGAGCACAACCTCAAATTCCTACCATCAACTCATTCATCCCTACATATTATCTAAACTGGACATGCCCAGTCTTTGATTTGAAAAGGTTCAAATGTGACTTTAGGGGTGAATGGGTTAAATATATACATAATGGGAGCTTAGACATTTTTTCAAATTAAACAACTTAGGTCTTTAACAGGTACAAACTTATTTGGTTTGGTGTGATAACATACCAGCTGTGTGTGTGTGGGTTCATCTTCCTCCACAGTCAGGGTCATCAGATCCTGTTTATTTGTCATCCAGTACAACTGAGATTCACACTGCCAGGAGAGTTGTCCCCCTTCGTTTTTAGAACTCTTCTTTTGGTGAGGTATGAAAACTGCTCCTTCAGCATCTTTACGAATATTCTTGTTGCAATACAGGTAGTTAGGGTCAGATGGCTTGAACACAAACACTGAAAAAAATAGAATTATAACAAATGAAACAAGATATCCCTGCAGAGGGATCTTATCACACACCAGTGTACCATCCTTATTAGTTTATGTCAGTTAGATCTTTCCACTTCTTTTCTCTAATTTGTTTGATCAAGTCATATAAACAGTAAATGCACCGTTTCACATATTTACTAGTACAGTTCTCTAAATGCAAGAGAAATAGATCCGATCATTACAATATCAGAAAGATCTTATTAGTACTTCCTGTGGCCGTTTGTTTTTATGATCACTCTCCAAAGTAAACATACACAACTATATATATACATATAGTCCAAGGGGAACCTACATATCAAATTTGAGAAAGATCCCTCCAGAACTTCCTGGAAAATAGCAATAACAAACATTCACTGTCAAAATCCAAGAAGGCTGTCTGTCAGCCTTTTTGCTTATTCGATTAGTCTCAAAAGTAAACATGCACACTAACAGAACAAGGGGAGGCTCCATATCAAATCTGAGAAAGATCCCTCCTGTACTTTCTGAGAAATAGCGATAACAAGAATTGTTTAAGGACAGAAGGATGGAAGACGGACTACGTACAAAGGGTGATTTGAATAGCCCACCATCAGATGATGGTGTGCTAAAAAGATTGAAATTATAAACTGATAATTCAACTTGTTGGAACATATCTATACTGCAGAGTATCACCACTGTTCATTATTTATCAGGCATGCTGCAGGTCAGGCAAAATTCTAGTAAAATGTTTTGATTACAAAAAATATCATTTTCCCAGACGATAGACATTGCATTAGCTCACATATATGTATAATGTTATGATTATTTTTATACAAATGTAATGAATACCTGGTAAGGTAAAATACCTTTCCTTAGAAATAAAAACAAAATTATGTAGAATGAAAGTAAAATACAAGCAGCAGTTCACTTTTAGGAAAATGAAAAAGGGATCAGAATGAAAACTTGGTAAGATTTCAAAGTACTAGTTGCTACATTATAAATCATCACTTTTATTTTTACTTACGGCTCTTGTTTTTCCCGAACACTGCCATGACATCACTGAGAGGGTCAGCTACCAAATGTGTACTCTCAATACTGGCACTCCAGACAACTGTAACACATCATAGTGTATGGTTTGTTACAGAAAGTAAATAATTGTGTCAAACTTTTGTGTTGGAGGTCAATTTTCCGGGCATCCTGGACATCGTTTTTGAAGGGGAAAAATTGATGCGCAAAATAGATAAGTAGAAGTTTTTTTCATTATCTTCAGCACTAAAAAGTACCTGCCCAAATTACACTGGTTTTTCCTGTATCAGAAAATGGTAGATCACAATTTGCATGCATATTTATTATTATACCGTATCGCAACAAAAATGAAATATCACTTTATCACAATGTTTTTTCAAACACTTATAAAACTGCACCTACCTGCACAGGTGATGAGGTCCCAGACCGTCACGTTTGACACTGTAGTAGTGGCCAGATAGTGACTACAGGATTTTTTCCCAAACTCAATGAACCTGTCAAAATAGTAAATGTTCTTATTCTTTTCTGTTGTAAAATGTGTATGTTTCATTTATGCTTGACCATATGTAAGTTTTAATCGTTGACTTTATACAATATCAAGCGGAAATAAAGACTACATGTATCTAAAATTGGTATAATTTACAAAACATTGGTATTCAAATAATACTGTCATTATTGTAGGGTATATCATATTATATATCTTCATTAAATTTGTGGTTAATTTGTTTTTAGTTGTTCTCTTGGACTATATTTACTTCATTACAGATATAAATTTCGGCTGAACTGTCACCATGGAAACTATCTTACTCTGCTGTGTGACATGGTTACAGCTCTGCTGATAAGGGATGACAATGTGTTTATATCAATATCTTACTGTACTGTCCCCTGCTGACTGATAAGGGATGTTTATATCAATATCTTACTGTTCTGTCCCCTGCTGACTGATAAGGGATGTTTATATCAATGTCTTACTGTACTGTCCCCTGCTGACTGATAAGGGATGTTTATATCAATGTCTTACTGTTCTGTCCCCTGCTGACTGATAAGGGATGTTTATATCAATGTCTTACTGTTCTGTCCCCTGCTGACTGATAAGGGATGTTTATATCAATGTCTTACTGTTCTGTCCCCTGCTGACTGATAAGGGATGTTTATATCAATGTCTTACTGTTCTGTCCCCTGCTGACTGATAAGGGATGTTTATATCAATGTCTTACTGTTCTGTCCCCTGCTGACTGATAAGGGATGTTTATATCAATGTCTTACTGTTCTGTCCCCTGCTGACTGATAAGGGATGTTTATATCAATGTCTTACTGTTCTGTCCCCTGCTGACTGATAAGGGATGTTTATATCAATGTCTTACTGTTCTGTCCCCTGCTGACTGATAAGGGATGTTTATATCAATGTCTTACTGTTCTGTCCCCTGCTGACTGATAAGGGATGTTTATATCAATGTCTTACTGTTCTGTCCCCTGCTGACTGATAAGGGATGTTTATATCAATGTCTTACTGTTCTGTCCCCTGCTGACTGATAAGGGATGTTTATATCAATGTCTTACTGTTCTGTCCCCTGCTGACTGATAAGGGATGTTTATATCAATGTCTTACTGTTCTGTCCCCTGCTGACTGATAAGGGATGTTTATATCAATGTCTTACTGTTCTGTCCCCTGCTGACTGATAAGGGATGTTTATATCAATGTCTTACTGTTCTGTCCCCTGCTGACTGATAAGGGATGTTTATATCAATGTCTTACTGTTCTGTCCCCTGCTGACTGATAAGGGATGTTTATATCAATGTCTTACTGTTCTGTCCCCTGCTGACTGATAAGGGATGTTTATATCAATGTCTTACTGTTCTGTCCCCTGCTGACTGATAAGGGATGTTTATATCAATGTCTTACTGTTCTGTCCCCTGCTGACTGATAAGGGATGTTTATATCAATGTCTTACTGTTCTGTCCCCTGCTGACTGATAAGGGATGTTTATATCAATGTCTTACTGTTCTGTCCCCTGCTGACTGATAAGGGATGTTTATATCAATGTCTTACTGTTCTGTCCCCTGCTGACTGATAAGGGATGTTTATATCAATGTCTTACTGTTCTGTCCCCTGCTGACTGATAAGGGATGTTTATATCAATGTCTTACTGTTCTGTCCCCTGCTGACTGATAAGGGATGTTTATATCAATGTCTTACTGTTCTGTCCCCTGCTGACTGATAAGGGATGTTTATATCAATGTCTTACTGTTCTGTCCCCTGCTGACTGATAAGGGATGTTTATATCAATGTCTTACTGTTCTGTCCCCTGCTGACTGATAAGGGATGTTTATATCAATGTCTTACTGTTCTGTCCCCTGCTGACTGATAAGGGATGTTTATATCAATGTCTTACTGTTCTGTCCCCTGCTGACTGATAAGGGATGTTTATATCAATGTCTTACTGTTCTGTCCCCTGCTGACTGATAAGGGATGTTTATATCAATGTCTTACTGTTCTGTCCCCTGCTGACTGATAAGGGATGTTTATATCAATGTCTTACTGTTCTGTCCCCTGCTGACTGATAAGGGATGTTTATATCAATGTCTTACTGTTCTGTCCCCTGCTGACTGATAAGGGATGTTTATATCAATGTCTTACTGTTCTGTCCCCTGCTGACTGATAAGGGATGTTTATATCAATGTCTTACTGTTCTGTCCCCTGCTGACTGATAAGGGATGTTTATATCAATGTCTTACTGTTCTGTCCCCTGCTGACTGATAAGGGATGTTTATATCAATGTCTTACTGTTCTGTCCCCTGCTGACTGATAAGGGATGTTTATATCAATATCTTACTGTTCTGTCCCCTGCTGACTGATAAGGGATGTTTATATCAATGTCTTACTGTTCTGTCCCCTACTGACTGATAAGGGATGTTTATATCAATATCTTACTGTTCTGTCCCCTGCTGACTGATAAGGGATGTTTATATCAATGTCTTACTGTTCTGTCCCCTACTGACTGATAAGGGATGTTTATATCAATATCTTACTGTTCTGTCCCCTGCTGACTGATAAGGGATGTTTATATCAATGTCTTACTGTTCTGTCCCCTACTGACTGATAAGGGATGTTTATATCAATATCTTACTGTTCTGTCCCCTGCTGACTGATAAGGGATGTTTATATCAATGTCTTACTGTACTGTCCCCTGCTGACTGATAAGGGATGACACAATGTGTTTACCGGTATATCAATATCTTACTGTACTGTCCCCTGCTGACTGATAAGGGATGACAATGTGTTTAAATCAATGTCTTACTGTACTGTCCCCTGCTGACTGTTAAGGGTTTCCCTCAAGACGTTGTTGTCCGGATCCCAGAGTGTGATGCTGGCTCCAAACACGACCCCCAACAGAGATCCATCAGCGGTAAAGGCACACCTACCAGCAGGCTTGTCATGGAAGTACCCCACAGAATCACAGTTCCATCTTGTGTTGGTCCCTACAATGGTTCACAAAGAATTTTCAGGTCAAAGTTTACCACATTTCCAACATTTTTTATTTTTTTTTCAGGTCAAACTTCAAACAGGTACACTTATAAAGCTTAAACTTAAAATGAAGGTTAAATTAAAATGACACATCTTCCGAGTTCTTTTCAAGGAATATTGAGTACATTACAGAAATGTTCAAAGTAACACCTTCTGTCAAGTATTTTTCAGGCAATGAACTCAATTTTCGTTCAGGTACTTTAAATGACCTGTATAAACAATGTATACTGTATAGCAGAAAAAAATTCGCTGTAATTTTACCTTTAGCCTATTTCACCTTCCATAAGGAATGTGAATTTATTGTGACAGTGACAATTAGCACACAACATACCATACAAGGTAATAATATGTAAGGGGCAAAAATAACACTGAAAACAGGTTGTAAAAAATAAATAAAATAAAAATGTACTGGTGAAGGGCGAAACTTTGATGCGGCAAAGCTTCCCACTTAATACAGTAACCAGATCTTATTACTGAGGTAACCAATGCATCCATTGACTACCTTTTATTTCTATATGACTACAAACTTGTGAACTGAAAGATCTTTCTATCATACCCATGTGCTACCCACAATGTAGCCTTCCTATCAGAATACTACAGAAACAATACACACTGGGTTTGAGGTGGTCACTGACACCAGACTAAGCCAGATCGGCCATAACCAGATCAACAAGACGAATAATCCATAGTTCTCCACCTCTAGACAAAGTTGGGTATAAAAACCAAACCAAGGGTGATAACTCTATATTCCGTCTTTGCGTATTGCAGAGTTATCTTCTCTTTGGAGCAGGTATTGATTGTTACGTCACTTGTTTGTGAGAGAAACGTCATCAATTCTTGAGAAAACGACGTAATTTTCTCACACAGACCAATGACGTAACAATCAATACCTGCTCCCAAGAGAAGATCACTCTGTAATACGCAAAGACGGAATACAACTGGGCACAAGACTCAACTTCAATGTGCGATACTCAGCCATTACAAGAGGTACCCACATACAGAATTTGGCATTCATAGGAGTATACCCCAAACAAAGTGTTTCAGGGTGAACCAAGGGCCACAGATTTAATATGTAGCACTAATCCAGCCAAAGAAGTACTCATTTAAAATATTTGGTAATTGTTTGATAGTGTATACATAGTATGATCAGAAATACATTTGACGATGGTCTAGTACAGAACTAAAGTTTCCACAATTTATATCGACATTGATTACTTATGTTTGTATCTCCATTTGTACTGGACTACTTGTGTCCGATATAGGGTAATGTAACATAAATATGTCCCTTACTGTAGATGTTGGTGTCATCCATGTTAGACCAGATTTTGAATTTGCCATCCTCACTTGTTGTGACCACCATCGGATCTTCGTTGTTATCAGTGAAGGTGTCGGGGCGGAACCGTAAACACTTGATAACTTTATCATGTGGGACTTCGACTGTGGTGTTTAATGTGTAGCTGAAACAAAAAATATAAAAAATATGTAAAACAAAATCATTTGCTGGATTATAATGTACCATACACCAGGAAAATAAGTCATAGATTATGTTTCGTTTTAGTATTAAGGAATTAAAAGCTTCTTTTCAAGGCCAGCTATTTTCATGGCTGCTTTATTTGTGAATATTTATTTAAGACAATAGAACTTAAAATTGCATTACCTTTAATATGCATCAGGACTTGTTCCCCCTATACGAGGGTGATACCTTTATACACTTTATCACTGGGCTGATATTTTGGAAACTGAATTATGTAAGCATGATACACTGTTCTCCGCCCATTTTTTATCTTCCACTTTTGAATTTATTTATTTTTGGTTGGTAATCCATTCATTATAGAAATAGGGCCCTTTGAAGAGAGAACTTTTGCATATAATTAAATCCAGAATTTCTGAATTTCATTTTTTCATTTTAATCTCAACCTCATGTATTTGCCTATTTACATTTCTGTTTTCTGTTTGCAGAAATTCAGTGTGATCTACCAACCTTTGCGTCTCTGTGTTATATTTCCAGAATTTCAGTCTCATTTCGGGAGTCATAACACCATTGTTCCAGTACTCCACTGTAGCAAGCCAGTCGCCTGTGCTGTTGAATTCTGATTGGATTACCTCCGTCACATCTAGGGGTCGCTGAATATTCTCGGAGGAAATATAATTCTGACGCACAATGTCCAACTGAAACAAAAATAGAGCAGCCACTATACCATATAGCCTTTTAATTATAATCATACTGTCTGGAATATTTTTTAGATTTTAACTCATTTTTTTATTAAATTATTTCTTGCATATCACATTTGTTATTTATGCAATAATCCTATTTACAAGTATATTAAATCCTATTTACAAGTATATTAAATCCTATTTACAAGTATATTAAGTCGACTCCCTCTATACTATAAAATATTTATACTGTAAACACAATTTTACTGTTATCCGAATCGAATGGTAATATAAATACATTTCAAACAAGAAAATGCAGCAAAGCTGCTGGACGCGTGATCTTTTGATGAAAATCACTTACTGACAGTCCAACAACCACAAGGAATAGATACTGCACACCTGAATTTATTCTTTGGGTATTAATGGCATTAATTTTAACGTTTAGAATATTCTGTCACACTCATCCTCGCATGTTGCTCTATTGTCACTAATGATCCCAAGTCAAGAAACTGTACATTTTTAACTGTATGTTTCACCTAGGGGGACCATAAATGTGCTATTTCCCTCATACCCATTCTATAACTGTATACTGTTGCCTAGCACGGTCAAAAGCCAGCATTGATAAAATGATAATCTAATTGTACCATAGCATGACATGAAACAACTGTATACTGTACACACAATGATAGTGTTGTGGACATGTATTTATAGAGTGGCCAAGCTGACTTCTCTGTCAGGCTTGGTGAGAAGGTCGACTCTCCCGAAGGTGATGATCTGTTGTGCATGATAATATTGAATGTAGTCTACGCAGGGGTAGCCGCTGTATGGACATATTTTGATTACACTCTCCGTTGCAGACAAACATTATGATTAACATGCATATAACTAAGTTGTTTTCTACAATAATGTCAACATTCCCATACACATGCTATGATCTAAAATCTTACATTGTACAACTGTTTATCACTGTGAACAGAGTAGAACTGCAGGTGCCCTGGTTTACCGTTGAGAACCAGAGCTTTGGACCTGGGGTCAAAGTTCAGTCCAGCTGGGTATAAACAGGTCTGTTTGGCGGACAGGTTAGTTTTGGTGAGACCTTGGTACACTTGGGTCAATAAGAAGTTGCTTGTCAACAATTGTATCGCTGAAAAGAAATAATCATAAATACATATACAATCAACAGTTTAATTTCATTACATTATTAACTCAAATTGTTCCCCTTGATACTCCAAGGGTAATGCTCATTTTCGCTCTCTGTACCCCTGGGTTATATCATGACAAAATTGAAGGCTCGATCAGTGTGCACCACCTTGTGGATGAGATGAGTTTGATCCTTTGGTGTACCTCAAAAGAATCAGTTGGTTGCATAACTGTAAAGTTGACTGGGTTTGAAGTTGGGTGTCGCTTCTCTGTAATCTTCAAAGGATAGGTATGAGCCTAGCAATAATTCTTTTTTTTTAACCTGAGGCCAAACAAATAGCTAGCTGTGTGCCTTTAATTTTTGTATGACATATTCCACAAGCCCAGAGAGCGTATGTGAGCATAACCCCTGGAGTACTCGATGATGATTGTTACCTGTCAAACAAATGTTTCAGATCACCGTTACCTTCCAATCAAATGATATCACTTTGAAATTCATGATTACATTTCCTTGCTTTGACACCATATGAGAATCAAAATGTGAAATATGATTGAAAATCATCCTGCAAACTAATCTATAAATATTATCTGTGAATATTTGTTATTTAACACCCATTGATGTGCCTGTGATCTCATTAAATCTCAAGGTGATGTTCTTTATCATATGTAGCCTGGGTATAACTCATTTACAGACAATTGTCAAATTTAGTTTAAGCTCGTTACTTTTATCAGGGCAGTGGAGGTCATATAAGAAAGACACAAATAATATCTTTATCAAAAAATGAAAGTCATGTTAATACAGGTACATATGACTGAAAGTGTAGCGTTCTGTATCACACTAAAATTGTTCTCTTACTGATTTTTGGCGTCACTGATAACATTCCCTACATTATGGATACCATTCCCTGACTAATACTATTCTAGATCAAATTCAAACCTGATAATCAAATTTCCCTGGATTTCCGATGATGAAATGAGCTAAGACCTACCATTGTCATCATGGCTGGTGGCATACAACAAGTTGTCTGGGGAGATGGCCACGTGAGTTAGCGGTGCCCCGAGACGGGGTCGGAAGTCGCGGTATTCTGAGTTGTACTGCCATTTCACTAACACACACTCATGTCCACCACTGAGGAGGTAAGAACCTGGACCAATCAACAGAAAACAAAAAGAATTAGGGACCTGGACCAAGGGGAGAATCAATAGGAAATAAAAGAATTAGGGACCTGGACCAAGGGGAGAATCAATAGGAAATAAAAGAATTAGGGACCTGGACCAAGGGGAGAATCAATAGAAAACAAACGTTAAAGGAAACTCCTTACAAACGTATAGTTTGAAGTAATTGAGTACTTTTAAGTCAAGAATAGTTTTCTAAAGCAAATAAAATGCTGACAATTTTTTGTCAACACTGATTTGAGATGACATTCAATATAAACAATTATTTTAATAGCATTTTTGCAATTACAGTACAATATTTACATTTGCATGGCATTGTCATTATATAGCCTCTTTGGAAGCTGTGTCGTTGATGGGACTTTAATTACCATGCATCACGAGACACAATTCTTAGCGTATTAATACAACACTGACCGGAACTACAATATCCAATATAAATAAACATGACGGCTGCTGAAATATTGCTGGGCATTGTGAGATTTGACAATGGCATTGTAAATTTATGTGCAAAATAAAAAAATAAATAAAAAACACTTTTATTGCAACGAAAACAAGACCAAGGTCGGCAATATCGTACAAAATGCACACCGGTTGAAATCACCAATGCCGGCAATGGAAACAATTTTAACGCTCATGCAATTTATCAAAAATATCGTCTGTTACACTGCACTGATAAACAGGGGTTCGTTTCAAATGTCTGAAATACACATATTCTATAGACCTACTGACACATATGTTACAGACCTACTGATATGAGTCACAGCACACATAAACATTTCAGACATTTGTAACGAACCTGTGCTCCGTCGCAAGATCACTCACTTCAAACACTATCAGTTTCACTCGCATCCACGGACGGTTCCTCGGTTTCTGACGACATGTCAAATAACGAGTCTGATATAGAATCTACCGACTGTCGTCAGGTTCCCATACAATCAACAAATAAATTCACGCCTGGATTCTTCACAAAATGAGCAAAGAGAAAAGTTTGAATTAACTTCGAAAAATAACTCCCTCGTGGAGGGCAAGGTCGGATTTACGATGTTCACTGTATTTGTCCATGCGTTAAATTTGTTCCGGGGAAAAATCGAAACAATTTCAAATCTAACTTTCAGCTCAGAGTTCTATTGATAAACTTAAATCACCCTAAAGACATATCATACGCAATTGTATTGATACTGAATTGTGGAATAAAATTGAAGTGTTTGTTAAAATTTCAAAGTACTACTTTGTTTGCCAATCAGCACGCGACAATACACTGTTCAAACTATAGAACGAAATTGTGTGGACTGTCGATAAGGCTGGCATTTTTAATTTTAAATATAAATTATAAGTTAAAAAAGAACAAAAGAGGCAGCAAAAACGTAAATATAAGTATTGAACTGTTTTTGTATGGTATTTATGATCAATTTGAATAGCGCCCATTATGTTGTTTGCTTGCAAAGCTGTGTCATTCAAATAGATCATAAATACCATACAAAAACAGTTCAATGCTTAATTAGAAGCAACGTAGATAACAGGATAACATGTGTGCTTTCAACCAGCTTCATTGTGAGTATTTTTCTTGGACAATAAATAACCTGTATATGACGTTTTAAATATCAAAGTACTGGAAGGTGTAAAGTTTGACTTACCCTCTACTGTGAAGGTCAAATCCAGTACTGGCAGAGCATGCCAGTGGAGAGTAGACTTTACAACATGGCTCTGATCCCCTAGGAAACTCCACCTACAAACATAATAACACATTATATTCACACAACACAATAAATTCAAATTACAAATATAATCACACATCAAAACTTTTATCACAACTGCAAAATAAATACACACCATCACTATGGTCACCAAGGAAACATCACTCTGGTCACCAAGGAAACACCAACATTGAACAATCAACAAATCATAATAATGAAACATAAAAAATCAATAAATTACCAACACAACACACTACTCAACACACTACACAACACACTACTCAACCCACTACACAACACACTACACAACACACTACCCAACACACTACCCAACACACTACACAACACACTACACTACACACTATACAACACACTACACAACACCCTACTCAACAGTACACATCACCATATAATGTACACATCATAATACAATACAAAACACAACACAACACACTACACAACACACTACTCAACACACTATACAACACACTACACAACACACTACTCAACACACTACACAACACACTACACAACACACTACTCAACACACTACACAACACACTACACAACACACTACTCAACAGTACACACCACCATACAATTTACACCTCATAATACAATACAAAACACAACAACACAACACACTACTCAACACACTACACAACACACTATACAACACACTACTCAACAGTACACATCACCATATAATGTACACATCAAAATACAATACAAAACACAACAACACAACACACTACACAACACACTACCCAACAGTACACACCACTATACAATGTACACATCATAATACAATACAAAACCCAACAACACAACACACTACTCAACACACGACACAACACACTACTCAACACACTATACAACACACTACACAACACACTACTCACCAGTACACACCCCCATACAATTTACACCTCATAATACAATACAAAACACAACACAACACACTACTCAACACACAACACAACACACTACTCAACACACTACTCAACACACTACTCAACACACTACACAACACACTACTCAACACACTACTCAACAGTACACACCACTATACAATGTACACATCATAATACAATACAAAACACAACACAACACACTACTCAACACACCACCATACAATGTACATATCATAATACAATACAAAACACAACAACACAACATATATCCCATCAACAAAACAATCGCACATCACAACAAAAAATGTTACTCAAAATCATAATCAAGACACAAATCATAATCAAGACACAAATCATAATCAAGACACAAAACAATATCATAACACAAAACAATATCATAAATCGAAACAAAATCATAACACAAAACAATATCATAACACAAATATATAATATAAATACACAAAACACCTATAATACATAACACCAACAAATATATATACAATACACCAACAAATATACATAACAATAAACACACCACATACCAAAGGATTATCTTGCCACTGCCGGTTCCCGTAGCGATACAGAAGTCGGTAGGATGACAGGCGACACAAGTAAAGTCGGGAAAGGTGAACCTGTAAATCAGACAGGAAGTGTAGTATTACAGACAGATCAAGATTTAAAAAAAAAAGATCTTTACTCTTTTTTGTTTTAATTGGAACCGACATAATGTCAATGGAGACAGAAATATAACACATTGTCAATGGAGACAGAAATATAACACATTGTCAATGGAGACAGAAATATAACACATTGTCAATGGAGACAGAAATAAAACAAATTGTCAATGGAAACAAAAATATAACACATTGTCAATGGAAACAAAAATATAACACATTATCAATGGAGACAGAAATATAACACATTGTCAATGGAGATAGAAATATAACACATTGTCAATGGAGACAGAAATATAACACAATGTCAATGGAGACAGAAATATAACACA